GGGGGGGGGAAAGAGACCCTCTCCCTCGAGGAGAAAAAGAGCGAGAATAAGGGGAGGGGTATTACTTACAACGCCGTGAGCACACGCAAAATAATGGATATGCAATCAAACGGAGTGTGTGCGCTTGTGTACATTCGACAAGAAAATTGAGGCATGATATCATGCGTGGAAATATTATGCGCGTACTCGAGACAAAAATACTCAAATCACAACACTCGTCTGATTTTTTTCCAGGTCTTCAGACGACAAAGGGATGAAGAAGCTAAAGAAACCCAAGCGTCGCAGTAAGTTTTTATTCTAAATTGCTCAGAAAAACCAAGATCAACATTTCCAATCTGTTTTTTTTCCTTAAAAAACCCTTCTAAAGAAGCTTTTTTCATTATCTACCACTTTTGCAGTCTTTTTTGCTTACAGAGCGGCGACAGAAGAGCTGTCGAGTCTTGAAAAACAGATAACCGAAAGGAAAGAGACATCGAGAAAGCTGGTAGGCACACAAGATGACGCGATCTGTCAAATTTGTCAGAAGACAAAATTCGCCGATGGGATTGGTACGTTGTTCCGTCTTGTTTCCTGAAAGAGCGATGAGAGCGGCCAAGGGTCCCTCTTGGCGGTAAAGATGAGCTTTATCTCCCTTCTTCACTTTCCATTCTTCACTTTCCATCTGAAGCATCTCCCACCAGGACCCCTGACCCTTGGATCTCTCAGGAAGACTCTCTCTCTTTCTCTCTCTCTCTCTCTCTCTCTCTCTCTCTCTCTTTCTCTCGAAAAAGGACATCAATTTAGCCCACGATGAGGGGTTTTTCAGGCCACAAGTGCTTTTATTGTCAATTGCGTAGCTGTGCAAGATGCGGAGGTAGAGCACAGAGCAAGAATAAGGTACGAATTGGGGGAGAGAAGATGGAAAGTGCTGGGGAGGTTTTTTAAAAACAGGAAACGTGGAAAGAAAGAGAATAGGAGCCGTAGTGCCGGGTGACTGAGTTTGAATAGAGCACTTGAATCTGAATACTCTAATCTGGAATAAGAGAATAGGCTGAATCATGACTGATATCTTGAAAGAGAATAAATCAATACGGTATCAGTGGCAGAACTGTTTCAATGAACTCTTTTAATCCAGTCGATGTGATATTACATTTTTATCTTTGACATTTGTTCAAATCAAGAAAACAAAGCAAAAGAAAGGGTTCGAGAACAATAGGTTGAATTGTTACTGGATTAGTTGAATAGAAGAAATTAGCTACGTGGGCCGCCAATGCACACCGGCGCCCCCGTTAAAAGAAGCGACGGAACTTTTTGAGGAGAAAAGAAAGGGGAAATAGAAGGAAGAAGAAAAAAACGAGGAAAAGCTTTCAGGCAATTTGGGCTTGTTCGTTGTGCCAGAAACGTCAACAAATTCTGGCGAAAACCGGCAAATGGTTCCAACCCGAAGAGCAGGCGCAGCAAAAAATTAGCGTCTCCGAGGCAAGCCCGTCGCCACAACCGCTAACTCAAACGCCCGACCACAACGGCCCGCCAACCCAACTGCAACCGAGGCAGACGGAACCGCCTGATAAAATGTGAGTTTGGTTTCGGGAAATGGAGATGGGTTGTCCAGTCCAGACCCCAAGTTTCCGCATTTTCATTCTATTTTCTAATACAATGCTAGTCTTGAAACACGCGCTGTGTATATAGATTTATTTATCTAGGAAACAATTTTTCCAGAGATCAAAACTTTCAACCTAACCAGCAGCAAAGGGCAATGCACGGCCCTCAACAGACCAATGGTCCTGTTCAAAACGGTCCAAATCAAAATGGTCCTAACCAAAATGGTCCTACTCACAATCAGAACCATCAGGGTAATCACCATCCACAAAACAACCGACAGCAAATGCAACAACAACAGTCGGTGAATCAAAATCATGCCCCGATGAACCAGAATCAGCAGAATTTCCGAAATCAGGTATTACATAGCAAAATGATGCTGCATTTCTATTTAACATGATTCCAGGCTGGACCCCATAACCAGAACCAAAACAAAAATCAAAGGCCCGTTGATAATCGGAACATGCGAGGCAACCAGATGCAGCAGCAGCAACAACAAAATCAATTCCAAGGGAATATGGTTGGAAATAATCAACAACTCCAACAGCAGCAGCAACATGGACCACAACAACCGGGACCTTCTCATCAACGTAAGAGCCTTTCTTTCACTCTACTCCAAGTAAAAACTAGTCAGTAAAACAATGTGTATTGGTATAGAACAACAGAGAAGAGAGTGGGTTGTGTGGGTGGGGGAAAATGTAAAAAATTGAGAGAAAACGGGAAAGAAACGCAAATTGGAATACATGCAGACGCACACACAGTACTCGTCAGTCTGGATAATTTTAGAAACGGGTGAGCAGCAACAGAAGCAGCAGCACCGAATGGATAACAACAGAATAAGAGAGAACCACAATGGTCATGGTGGGATGTTCAACAACAAGCAGCCTTCATTAGAGGTACGTTTTTTCTTTCATAAGAGGAAAGATTTTTTGTATACAGTGGGAGTAAAGAATAGGAACATTTCGAAATGCAGTTTTCCAAAAAAAAAAACAAAACTAAACAAGGGCAATAAGATGGAGAACCAAAAAAGGAAAGAAGAAGCAAAAAAGGATTTAATGAGATTTGCTTTAAGATAGGGGGCGGTCCCTTGGTACCATTTTTTGTGCGCCGCATCCCTCGAAATTGAATTTCCTGAACCATCGTTTTCTTTCTTCCATGATATTTTTTCCTAAAAAAAGAGACGAGCGATATCCAATTAAGACTCTCAAGAGCACACACGCACTCTTTTCGTTTTTTCCAGCGAACCACGTCGACGAACAAATACAATCAAGGAGGAGTAGACGAGGATAGCATGAACCAGCAGCGGTTAGTATAATAGTCTCATCAGGCTAAATGCTTTTTAGTTTTAGCTCTGTAGCAAGGCTTTTCTCATTCAGGCCCACGTTCTATGCCGGTAACGGTGAAAATGACCAAAGACAGTATGATGGACAGAATATGAATTCAAATTCTGTATCTCATGGTCAAAATCAAAATCAGAACCAGATTCAAAATCAGAATCAGAACCAAAATCTCAGGAAAAACCAAGGAAACCGGGTAACGGAAGAAGACTACGCGAGCTCATCTGTTTTTGAGTCCAAGAAACGTAAGAATGATTTTTTCCCTTTTAAACCATCAATTGTATTTTGATTTTCAGAGAGGAATCATAATTCTCAAGTTCCATCAACTTCCCAAGGCGTTAGAGCTGTACCCCCAAACGACGACCACTTGAATCGGGTGAAAAATCGGCTGCATAGGTAAGTAGGTGTAATTTGGCTAAAAGAAGTGGGTGGGGGAGGACCAACTCAATTGACTAATGTCCTTTTGTACTAAGTGAGCGGTCCGGAAGTTCGTGCTTCTTTCTTTTTACTCATTATTTAGTCTCAACTTCCCATTTCCCTTCTTCCTCATTTTTTAGTATTGCCGTTGTCTCCAAAAGCTAGAAAAAGGCTCAAGTAAAAACAGAAGCGCTTCTCCTCTCGGTTTCAATGCAAATTTTTAATGAGTGGTTCCGCTCATTTAGCTCTCTTCTTCTTTCTTTTTTAGTTCTTCCATTCTTCTCGCATTTCTATAGCATTTTTGTGACACTTCTATCCATTCCCTTCTCATTCTTCTTGCTTTCGTTTCAGACAATTGCGATCCATGTCGTCGTCCGAAGAAGATATCATTGCCGGCGGCGGTGGCAACACTCTGAAGATGTCGACGTCAGCAGTGGTGGCTGCCGGCGGCAAAACCGCATTCCATGATGATATGGGCGCGTCGAATGTGCAGAGGTTGTCCGAGGAATGCAATTCAGAAAAGGGTTTGTGTGCGTGCTTTTGAAATCCCATGTTGACGTTTCGATGAGTTTTCCAGACCTCCTTCGATATATTTATGGCGACCATAAAAACCCTGATTCGTCGTCGTTGTCTTCGTCGGGACCGGTCTCTGGTGGAAACAGCGTGCTAAAGAGTAAACCTCATGTTTTACCGAAAGGGTCTCATCAAGGGGTTTTAGACATGCAAACAAATAGGCGGCGTGACAAATCGCTGTCCGTGTCGCCATCGCGTAACGATCATTTTGGTGGCGCTGGAAGTATATCAGGAGGGGAGTTGCTCGCGTCACGCATACGAACTATTTTGGCTGTGAGTTGAACCAAGGAACACCAACTTATCCATTCATGAAATGTACTTTTTTAGCATCCTGTAACATGGCAGCCAACATCTGATCAAAAAAGACTAATAGGTCATATGGTTCTTCATAGAACCGAGAACTCCGCTGCCAATGGGGATCTTGGGTTGAAAATAGTCGGTGGTCGAAGAACGGATACTGGGAAGCTTGGCGCTTTCATTACCCAAGTTAAGCCGGGCAGTGTGGCCGACACCATTGGAAGACTACGTCCTGGTAATGAGTTTTTTAATGAGATACCCTTTACGTCTATGTTTTATTTTTGTTTTTCAGGAGATGAAGTGGTCGAGTGGAACGGGCAATCGTTGCAAAATGCGACCTATGAGCAAGTGTATGATAGTATTGCAGCAAGTAGATATGATACTCAAGTTGATATGATTGTTAGTAGGAATGCGATGTGAGAAATATTCTATTGGCACACTCAACTTAAAAGAAACTTCAGACTGCCCGGTGGTGATGACTTTTTCAATATTCCCTCTTCTCAAATGTCTTCGTCGACGTATTCAAGAGTTCCGTCCACTTATCCATCTCAATATCCCCGTCAGCTGCCCAACCCTGAACTTTTTCTAGGTAAGAAATCGATTCTGAATGTTTCCTTCCTAGTATTAATGTTCAGATCTTCATCCTGCTCTCCAGCAACAGCTTCTATCTCATTCTCAATCCGCCGTGTTTCCTCATAATAGCACACTGACCTCGCGTAATCGATCAACGTCAAGCTATTACTATTCAGGTGAGTGTGCCGTGGATTTGTTAATTCTACCTGACACTGCAAATGCAGCAGGTGTATTACGTGGGCTTCCGAATATAGAAAAATGACGGGGGACTCATTTTACACTCATTTTACAGAAGTGCCCGATCTCGGTGTGCCGCATACAAGGGAACTATCCGATCAGACTTTTGGAACTGGTCATATATTCGGAAGGATTGAACTTTCATTCGTATACTCTCATCATGAAAGACAACTTTCTGTGGCCTTGACAAGAGGATTTGATCTACCGCCAAGATCTGACGGAACACCTAGGAATCCATATGTGAAAATCTTCCTGCTGCCAGATAGAAGTGAAAAGTCCCGAAGACAATCGGCAGTGATTGCTGAAACTCTCATGCCAGTTTGGGATGAGGTTTTCTATTATAATGGTCTGACGGAGCCAATGCTGTTGCAAAGAGTTCTGGAGTTGACGGTGTGGGATTATGACAAGTTTGGAACCAACAGTTTCCTTGGAGAGACTCTGATTGATCTGGCTGCAGTTCCACTTGATGGTGAACACTCGTTGATGTGTGTCTTGGTTGATATGGATGATGATAACCCGCTAAGAACGGTACTCGTTTTTTAGAATATTTTTATTCTCTGTTTCTGTGTTTTGCAGCGTTTAAAACTTCGAAAAGCTTCGTATAATGCGCCGGTGAGACGTCCGCAGTCGGAGCTCAATTATTACGATCAATCCCACCACTATTACAACCACATCAGTCAAAACATGGACAAGCCGTCGCATCATCATGTTCTCGGAGCAATGAATGATGAGGAGAATGATGAATACATTGACGACGACGAATTGGAAAACGACATTGACTTGGCGACAGGCGGCGCCGCACGGAAGAGTCGAGCGTATCGTCGTGAGAAGGGATTACACGGCGGCCACGGATATGCCGATTGGACGCAGAACAATCCAAAACAATCGGGATACACGTCGGACCACGGCTACGGAAGACAGACGATGATGGGTGGTGGAGGACGCCGCACGTATAATCGGCGACAGCAACGACGGTCGCGTAGTGCAACTGCACTATCGCAAAGTAAGTGCTCTAGGGGAAAAAACTGGAAATATGGTGTGGTTGGGGGGGGGGGGTTTAGGATGCATGGAAGATGAGGGTGGTGACGACATGAATGTGCAGATTAGTGAAAAGGGGGGTCAGGACAAACCGAGTGAACCTGCTCAATTATTCATGAGCCCTTTAAGAGGGATAGAGAGATAGATGGGGAACTTGAATTTGAATGAGATGTGAGGGAAGAAAACTTTATTTTAAGTAGTTTTCGTTTCAGTGGAAAGGGATGAGATGTATGATCCAACCAGGAAGCATAGGGAGGAGGATGAGTACTCAATGAGGGAAACGTAAGTACTGGCTTGTTTCAGGATTTCAGAATTTTCAGATTCAATTATGTGTTTTGTTCCATATATCTTTATAACGCATTCGAAATTTATGCTTTCATTATGCTTTATAGTGTTCGCCATGGCTCGCAGTATTACTTGGGTGATCAGCCGTTGTACGAAGACGGACGCTATAAGATTCCGCAAAACCAAATGATGCCGTCGTCGTCTCAACATAATCAGCAACCACATCCTTTGTCGCAAGTTCATCAACAGCAGCAGCAAGCACCCGGAGGAGTACAGCAACAACATCATCAGGGTCTTCAGCAACAACAGCAAGGAGGAGGTCATCATCATCAACAACAACAACATCCGCAACAACAGCCTAATCAAATGCAGCAAATGATGCCTCCAATGCCCAATCAGGGATATTATAGTGATGGAAGTGAAACGTTGAGTGTTCATTCGACAAACAGCATGCCAACAACGTACGTAAATTTTAAGGTTATCGACAAATGTGGGCTAAAAATGTTGGCTAAGATTTTGAAGGCTTTTTTGGAAAAATTGCAATTTTGTTACTCAAATCTATATTAGCATTGTGAATGGAACGGGACTTTTACAGAATGACCACTGTGAATAGGAGGAGTACAGCCAATCAAAATCATTCCACTGCTTCGAATGACACGACTTCCTTTGAGGAAACACCTACAGCTACCACAAATCGTGTCCCAATAAAAGAAACCAAACAAAACTCGCTTGCTAGCTCCTCATCTGTTGGTGGAAGTGCTGGTGGAGCTGCAAATAGTAGCAATGCTGGCTCTATAATGAAAGAGAGAAAGAAAAGTCTCATGACAAGATTTATTCCGGGAAGGGGTGCAGGTACGTGACCACATCGTGAATGTTTGGCTTTCATTGTCTTGTTTCAATTTTCAGAAGGCAAACGAACAGGCTTCGCCCGTTCAGAAGAGGTTGGCATACCCGGAAATCTGTCCTCAGATCGGCTCGCCGAGCCAACACCCCCGTTCTTAAAACAAGCCAGCAAAGAAAGTACCGACTCAGCGCACTCAGACAAGTTTGCACGCCAATGGTAACTTCGTGTTTTTTGAGTGACGTAATTTTCAGTTGGCTTCCAGTGCTCGCTGATGGTCCTCTTGGTACATTTGTCGACAATCTTGGTCCTGGTCAAGTGGTTGGACGACAGGTGCTTGCCTCACCAGTTCTCGGAGAAATTCAGATCGCACTGATGGCCGGCAGGAGCGGAATCGATGTGGAGATAATTAAGGCCAAAAACCTTGTTGTTAAGCCTGGAGTGAAAGTGTGTCCAGGTAGCATTTAGTTCTGTGCAGTGATTGTTCCAAATGTTTGGTTTTTTCTAGCTCCATATGTGAAAGTGTATCTAATGGAAGGAAAGTCTTGTGTCGCAAAAGCCAAGACCAATGCAGCGACGAAAACCACAAGTCCACTATTTCAACAACATTTAATATTTAACGATAGTCCAAAAAAGAAAACCCTTCAGGTTCGTGTCCTCGCCCTTTTCCAAATGTCCCATGTCAGAACCTAATCCCATTTTCAGGTAACAGTATTGGGTGATTACGGGCGAATGGAGAGGAAAGTGTTCATGGGGATCTCTCAAATTCGACTCGAGGACCTCGAACTTGGATCTCAACCGTTAATAGGATGGTACAAGTTATTTCATAGCTCCTCATTGGCGGGTACGGGGCCCGTCCGAAAAGATTCAGATGTGTCAGTTGTTGGAGGATCGCAGCAGTGATCCAGCTTTTTATAATAATATGTTGTTCTTTACTTGTTTTTTGTTATGTTTCCTTTTTCCTCCTTTTTTATTGATTTTGATGCTGAATACGTGTACTTTTGAACAGAGTAATTCTTTTTGCTTATCACCTCATTTTCCTTTCATTCCACGTTTCATGAGCATTAGTAACAAAACAAGTTTTCTCAATGGTATGCATTACGGGTTTTTAACTCTTGCTTTTCTACTTCTGACATTACATCATGAATCTCCGATCTCAGGGCCCCACTATTTTGTTCTTTCGAATGAATTAGTTTTTTTCGATCTCCTCATCAATCGATTCAAAAAAAAAAATCTAATCCACAACACATCAAACCACATTGCATAGACTGACGACACAGAAAACGAAGAAGAAAGAGAGAATGCAGTAGTACAAGCTAATCGGTGCATCCGAACGAAGAAGGCAACAGTTTTGCGCCGCCAAGAATTATGCATAGTGGAGTAATAACAACTTTTCGTCGACGATAAGCATCTCATGATGCTACTTGTCGCCTATTGATTCGAACGCATTTCAACAGTTTGATTTTCGGTTGTTTTCCATTCGCATTCATGGCATAAACGATTCCACCAATTAGGCTTTGTCGATCAAATAGAAACAAAGGAGAATGAAGGTGGGCCTTTTTTTTATGAAGAATATTTTGAAATTCGAATTTAATATTTAAAAGTTCAGGATGAAAAATTTTTGTGAATTTTTAGAAAAACTTTCTGTTAAAACGCTTTTACTTACCGTACCCTGAAAATGATTTTTGAACTTCAATTTTGTTTTTTGAACACCTCTCCTCGATAATTTGTCATTTGCATTCCAAACGATGGAACTTTGTATCCAAAGTACGCAATCCTCTTCTTTCGCCTAAATTTACAATTCTACTCACGATCAGTGAGCAACCTCGTTAGCGATTCTTGATGCTCTACTTTTTTTGCTTTGTCTCGGTTAGTAGTCAACGAGTGGTTAGTAAAACTAGGTGGTTCATTAGATATGATCGGAACACCTGAGATAGAAGCCTACGGGATGAGACGGATGGGAAGAAAAACAAAGTAGTTAAAATAAATTTTGAGTTCAAGGCAAGATCGGAGAGTGTTGATTAGAAATTTAATAGTAAGAAAATGTGTTATTTGTGAACTTTGAATTAAAAATTTATTTGTGGTTGTTGAATATAATCCAAAATGCAAAAGGTAGGATATTTTTTTTTAATTTCAAAGAAAATCGATCTTTCAGAAAGTCGGTCTCCAATGCTTTGAAATAGTTTTGCAGTAAAACTGTTCAAAAAGCTTTAGTTTAAATTTCATATTATTTGTGATATATCCTCAAAAAAAAAACAAAATCTTATTGCCTAACTACAATCACAAACTACCGTATTCTCTTTAATTGAAGCCTTTCGAAACTGTTAACGTAGAGCTTAATTATCTGGATTCCTGTGATAAATATCAAACATGTGTCAACAAATGAACTATTGCTGATTTTATGATAAATAATTTATCAGTTGACCAGTTTTTGATATTCTTCAGAAAAATCGAGATAAATGAGCTCAAAGTTGACAGTTTTGGTAGACTTTCATTAAAGGAAGTACAGTAAGTCCCTTAAAAGTTTTTTACCCACTCCAGAAGTTTGATGTTTTCAGAACGTTTTTGGAAGCACATTTATCCTCATTCTCATGTCCTTTCTCACCCACATTGGCCACAAACGAGAACAAGCCACAAACACCTTGACATGTCTGAGCCAACACTATTCCGATGTCAGTCTGGCTAGATTACAGAGTTTTCCAAATCTGATGCAAGAGATATCGAATATTCAAGACAATGTTGGAATCGTTCTGCTGAATCAGGTGGTTCACAACAACACGGATTAATTCCAATAATGTGTTTTTCAGCATGCCATGAACATCACTCTCAATTGGTTGTGTAATTTGAAAGCGTTTCATGATCCGACAATTCTCGAAAATATTGTAGTTTTTGCAATGGACAACCACTCGTATCAGATGCTTTCAATGTTATGGCCATCCATTCGAACGTTCAAATTAGAGCTTCCATCTGTGGTATGTGAAGCGATAGAAAATTTTGAGGGATCCAAAAAGTTTTTTTTTCTATTTTTTTCAGTCACAACCATTCCGAGTGGGACATTGTCAGTACCAGCTGTTTCAACTTCTACGGGCTAATCTTGCAACAATGTTCTCCATGATGAACAAATCATTTTGGATGTTACAACCGGACACCTATTGGCGGGAAAACCTATTCGATTTGTTTGGTAAAAACGTTATATTTTTCTTCTATTGACATTCTTAGAAAACTTCAGATGTGACCAGAAATGATTCAACAGATGTATATCTAGACGTTGAGGGAGAGTCTGTGTTGTCGTCCAGGATGATTGCCGGAGGGAACTTTCATGTGAGAGCCTCAACAGCATCTACTTTGTTTTTCCATCAGCTCAGCACTGAAATTCGGTTAGTCACAATTTTTTGAAAATAGAAAAAAAACGTTTTTTGTGAGTAAAAACGATGCTAACATCTGCAATAAACTTTTATGTCGCTACTTTTTTCCTAATATTATTCCGGTCTGTGTCTACCAAAACACAAAACATTTCCAGTTCTATTAGTATGCAAATTGTCATTTCCTTTTTTTGAAATCATCGCATTATGATAAAATGGTAAAACCGTTTCACTCTGAAAACTCGTTTTCAGAGAACGCTACACAACAGATAACAATGTGATGGGAGCAATGTGTGCGCAAGGATTTGCGTCAGTGAAATGCGAGTTCATTCCATACCACACAATTTCAAACTGGCGATGGAAGAATAAAAATTTGAAACCCGCGTTGATGCAATTCGATAGTCTTATTCTTCCGGGGACCATGGGAAAACTGGAAAGGTGCATAATTCCAAACATCAACACCCAACGAATATTTGTTTTTTTTCAGGATGCATCGAGCAGGAGCAAAGTTTGTGCATCCAGACGGATCATGCCTAGTTTTGGAATCTGCCAACGTCTCTTCCCTGGTCATATTTGACGACACGTTACCCCACGTTTTATTTCCACCGTGTTTTCACTTCTTCCATGTGGCACACGGTATGTGCGAATCACTGTGTCACTTCTTCCCCTCTATTGTTGATTTTCTTTTAGGAACAGTTTTCCCTAATTATGCTTACTTTTTAATTTAATTAGCCGCACCAGCAGCCATCAAAATGTTCTCTCACTCACCATTCCCAAACCCCGTCTCTCTTTTTTGTCTTTTCTTTCCTATCGTTTTTTCTCAATTCCATGAAGACACAAACCGAAAACAAACCAGTCCATTTACATAAGTACGAGATTCACAATGAAGATAAACTCAGTCCTATATATCCCTTCTGAATTCCAAACACAGACGCTTCAGTCGATATGGTGCCGAAGTCTGTATTCATACTTTTGTTGACTGGTGTTCAGTTAGTATTGGCAGCTGAGGAATACAAAAGTCAAACGACATACCCGGAGAGTGCTCCACCAGCAGCAACAACTCCAGCGCCACCTCCGCCTCCCCCTCCTCCAAAGCCCTATGTAGAGCATTCAGCTCCACCACCTCCACCTGCGCCCGCTCCCTCTCTAGCACCATATCCTCAACAAGCTCCACCACCACCACCACCAACAGCCGCTCCATACCCACAACAAGCCCCAACCCAGGCGCCATATCCTCAACACGCTGTTCCAGCTCCTGCTCCGTATCATGAGCAACCTCCACCACCACCTCCACCAGCTCATTATCCTCCTCCACCCCATCAATACCCACCACCACCTCATCCAGCTCCCCATCCAGCATACATTGATCATTCCGCACCTCGCCCAGCATATCCAGAACAAGCACCTCCACCGCAACCATACCCACAACAACAACATACGTATAACGGAGGACCACGTACCTACCATGAGCAGCCACCACCAGCTTACCCATCCAAATTCGTATGTTTTCATTCAAATTTTGAGCTTGAATCTGATTTCGAAAACATATTTTCCAGCAATACGTAGACTATCCAGCACCCACGACTCGCAGACCGTATCCATACCCTAGTTTTGAAGTTTTGCCACATCACGAAGAGTACCAGGTTTATCCCTCGAAGTATTAGTAATATTGAATCAAAAATTGAATTACAGCCAAAACCCACCCGTAGACCAACCACTACTGAAAAATCCACTACTACCCATAAACCTCGTCCAGGATGGGGAGATACCGAGTACAACTACCCGGAGAGACAGCTTCCACTGAAAGGATGTTTTTATAACAATCATGGATATGCATGCTGCAATCTCCGCCTTCAAAATAAAATGGAGGAGTTGGCTGATGTAATTTGATTATTCTCTTTTTCTTGTTTGCAATTCATTTGGTTTTGTAGCAACTTCTGAACAACGGGACTTTCCATCGATGCAATGTTCAAAAACTAGCCAACGATCTTCAGGATACAGTTGAAACAGCGTAAGTCAATTTTGTCCCTAGCCCTCAACATGCATCATTTTATTTCATTGATTTTAGTTTCAACGAAGACTTTGAGACAATTGTTGGTCTTTCTGACTTTGCCGAGCGCATTCATTTCCGTGAACATTATGTTTGCAAAATTGAAGTCGCTGGAAGGTTTGTTTCAACGTTTTTTGGTTCATTGCACATCTTGTTTTTAAAAATTCAGGTACATGCTAGCATGGGCAACTCCAGATGACCACCCGGCGAGAAATAAGCGTGGGGTCAATTCAACAACACCCGTCGAAATTCACGAATACAATTTCTAACGATTTTCCCGTTTATTTATTTTTTGATGATTTTTTATATTCTATGCTTTCTCTAATACATCGTGGCTGAATCCAGTACACAAATAAAGCTTTATTTGTGCTATAGACAAGAATCAAAACACTTGAAAATTAGAAGAAATAAGACAATTTGAAGAAAATAGAAAAAAAAATGAAAGGAGAAGCTAGAATTACCGGTAATTCTGAGGACAGAATGTAGATTCAACAGGTCGAGAGCAAATGAAAGCAGCTACAGAGAAAGAGAAGCGAGTTTTCGAGGTGATAGGGAGAAAAGGAATACAGAAGGTATATGAGCATGAGGTGACTATTTGTCAAAAAATTAGTCAACATTCATAGAATTAGAATACGTGAAACATGAGTGATCGGGAGAATTGTGTTGGACCCGCATATTGATGAGATCACCATGTACGTTTTTGAATAGAAAACGGGAAGAAGTATGACAGTTATAATTCAGTTGACCGGATACAAATAAATTAATACTGTTTGAAGAGCGGGGTGTATAAAGAGAATGTGAGCTAGAGGATAACACCGGTGGGTATAGAGAGACGCAAATATAATTATGAAGATGAAGTGGATTGTGCAGATTTTAGTGTAGTCAGTTATCGAAAAAGTCATCATTGTCATCGGGGAGTTCAGCATTGACGGCTGCTTGGAGCAACGCATTGTTAATGGTTTTTTCATCATCGCCCAACGAGTCACCATTCAATTCCATCTCATTCTCCTCGTCATCAATAGGAATCTGAAAAAAACGCATTTCATTGACACTGTATCTAATGACGTCGTCGTGGAATAAAAACACTCTCCAACACAGCACATGTCAGTGAAAGCAAGATAGATCAGACGGGCAGATGGTGGGGATGCTATGTCTTTCTATTTGTCTTTGATCGTCACTTTGTTTTTTGTCTTTAATCTCCCGATTTGGCCCACTTGACTTACTTTCTCTTCGGCATCCTTGACAGAGCTGTCCTCGATGTCACTATTGGAAATACAGCTCAACGGGGTAGTGGAACGAAGAGGTCCGGGACTGTGGGGGACTCTGCAAAGGAAAATGGTTTTTCAGGGTTCAGAAAAATTATTAGACTTACGAAAAGGAATTGAACTCGGTCGATGTCGAGCTCGCTTCAAATAGTTGGGAGAATGTTGGATACGGGAATGTCTTATCAGTGACCAATGGTGACGTGTTGCTTCGCATTGTTAAGCATCGTTTGATATCTGACTCACTGGGACTCTCGATAGTCATCTTTCTTTTTTTGGGTGTACGACAAATTGGAGATTCCGCTCTGAAAAAAAATACAAATTGAACAATCACTGTTCATCAAAGAAACAAACCTATGAAATTTCATTTTCTGATGACTGTGTCTTGTTGGACTTTGCGCCGGACTTGGTCTCGGACTCGGACTGTACGAAATATTTGGTCGAACCATTTGTTGTGTAGAAGGAGAGTAGCATTGTTTGATAATCTCAGCTTGCTGACGATTTGGACTCGGTGAGCAGCTGTTGGTAATGAAAGCACTGGTCACTACGCTAATTGGTTCTCCTAGAATTGTGTTGAACGATGGTGCTCTTCTGCGATAGTCAGAAGATTGTACTGGAGATCGCTCCTGTTCTATTCCCATTTCGTCGAACCCATTCGACACAATGTTCGATGCTTTGACGAGGCGCTCATGAGCAGCTTCGTTGTCTACCGAGCAGCTACTTTCTCGTCGGATGTTGGCGATTCTTCCACGGGGAGCATCGATTCCACGTGGCACAAATTTCTCCTCCAAACTCTTTGAGCTCATTTTTCTTTCCAGTTCTCCTTGATTAGAACTATTATCTTCACAATCATCTTCACTAGAAGATCCACTGGATGGCGCTTTCCGCTGGGCTCTGGAATATTAAAATGTTTTATATTCTCAATAAGAAAAAAAAGCTTACCTGAAGGCTTTTATTTTTTCTGATGTACAATCTTTAAGATTGTATCCATCCATACTGCTTCTGCTTGAGCATTCAGAATCCGCCACATTTGTGGAGAAAGAAGCCATCGAAGGATGAGATGATGGACGATCAGGGTCACCGGAAAGAAAATCCGGTCGCTGGAAGAGCGAAGAGCTCAGTGGAGATTGTGCCATGAATCTGAAAATAGATAAATAATCATTCTGGACAGAAAAATATTTCAAACTCACGGAGAATTGCGAAAAGCCTCAGACTGGTCGCTAACCAAGGACGAAATTGAAGTGGCTGGAGAATTGGCTGGTGGAATGTCTTCTCCTTGATTCAGTGTGGCTCCCAATTTTACGATGGAACTGGCACTCAAAGTGCTCAGGGAGTCCGAACTGCTCGGATCTCCCACATCTTGTAGGTCCATTACAGGATTGTATTCTGAAAAAAGTTTATGTATGGGAAGTGTTTGAAATGAAAAGAAGAAGAAGGAAGAAACATGAAAAGTAAAAGGGGACATTTTTCGGGGAAGAAAAAGCACGATAGACAATTTAATGGGGCTACTAAACATCCGTAGAGAAATTGAAAATATTTGCTAGAAGAAGAAGAATTGTTAGCGAAATAAAAGATACTCACATATCAAGAGAGCTATAACAAAAACAGAGTAACAGTTTTCCTCAATTCTTAGAAAACACTTTTACTCTTTTTTCCGAAAGTCATTTAATTTTTTTTGTGTTTTAGAGCATGTAGAAAAAGAAGAGTATGTCACAAAAAGGAAATGGAAGAGGCAGCGCTTCTCGACGGGCACTTGAAGAGAAAACGAGAGAAAAGAAAAGTCCATCAAAAGCGAGAATGTCGGTCAGTTCGCTCTATCGCCAATCGCAACGGCCTGGCCATCTTAGTGGGACGGGACGGGTCGAAAAACACAGGCAAAAGACGCTCTCTCACCCACAGACCGGCCACACAGAGACACACTATACACCACCATTTGCCCCCGTCTCTCTCTCTCTCTCTCTCTCTCTCTCTCTCTCTCTCTCTCTCTTTCTTTTTTCCCCAATACCCCCTCGTAACACACTAACATAGAGAGAGTAAAACTAGAGAGAGAGAGAGAAAAAGAAAGATACAGAAAGAGAAACTGACGTTTACCCGTCCCCGTCGTTTTCCCGTAGGTTTACTCCAAGGTGAAGAAACCGCGTCGGTCCGATGGCCTGTCTTTCTCTTTCCCTCTGTCCACCAATCGGCCTTTCCATCACCTCTCGTTCTCTTTTTCTACTCGTTTCGCTCTCTCCATCTACAGTCAAGGGTTGAGGTTCGAAGGTTTCGATGTTTGAGGAACGGATGGTTTGAAAATTTGAACACTGAACAACGGCAATCAATGACTCGACGAGCGGGCGACGAGCAGACAACGACGACGATGGTGAGAGAGGGGATGTCTTTCACAGTGCAAGTGGCATTTAACGAGAAAATAGGGTTTTTGGTTGGTGGGCAAACGCAGAAAATATGAAGTGACAGGATAGTGGTGAACAAAAAATGATTGAAAGAAGGAAGAAGTAAGGATTGAATTGAAGAGGAGAAGGGAAATTGAATTTGAAGAGCGAGTGAGAAGGGAAGAGAAGGAACTAATGAATGGATGGTCTTTTCTAGGAAGAGCTGTGAGGCAGTAAAGGACAGGATCCTCGAATTTCATTATCTTTGTGTCCATCGGGGTAGTAAAAAATGGGGTCCAGATGGTTCTCAATAGCCCCATTATTCGAGTCTGGGTATGAATGATGTTCGGAAGGAGCATCAGAAACATTAGATACCACATTGATAGCTTCTCACTCTTATATCTAGACTCAAGACTTATGTTCAAAACCTCAAGTAAATTCTGAAAACAAACCAGAATCTCGCTAAACTAACTCCTCATTTACTTTGAAAAGAAATCTATTTTCAAATAAAATATGGAAACGAGCAAAATGAAATCTCTAGTGGTTACGATTCACCGCGTTTTTGTTTCTCCATGGTAACCCCTTTTGCGCGATGTGACTCATAATTTTTATACGCTTCGTGTGTTGAATTCGGAAAACGATGGAATTGAAAAACAATTCATACATTTTGAAACGAGAGAGAGAGAGAGAGAAAGGAGCGGAGAAGAATATTGAACAGAGACATTTTTAGAGATTACTGTAGCAGGGTTGAAACAGAACCAATTGAGTTGGTCAGAAGATGAAAAGAGTTTGTGGTTACTTTTAAAGTTTTAAATTGCTTCGAAATATACAGCACCGCTCAAAAGTATATCAACATTTGGTTTTCCTTACTTTAACTTTTTCAAAATAGAGTTAAAGCGTCAAACTTTTCTGTAAAATGTAAAAAATCAACGAAGGTAAAAAATGATACGCGAAAATTTTCTTTTTGAAAAAAAAAGAAGAACACATTTTAGCAAAAAAATATATTTTTGGAAAATTTCCGATTTTCCTTTTTTTTTGAAAATCTGGAAAAAAAATCCGGTCATGAATTATAACATTACGAACATCGAAATATAACATTGCGAACATTATCATAGTGCCTCGGCTAATTTTTAAGCATATAAGACCACATTGAAATACAATTCTGTGTATGGTAAGGTTTTTAAATGTCAATTAGAGACTTCCGGCTTCAAAGCTTTTTCCACTATCGTTACACAATTTCAATTAGTCAATATATTAAAATTCAAGAAACATTTTATGAAAAAAACTAGAAAATCCAAAAAAAAACTGATCGAAAAGAAATAGCTAAACATTTTTTTAAGCCATTCTTCGAAATATTTTTCTTGCGAATATCTAATTTAATGAGATTCTTACTACTCAAATTGTTTATCATATAGACAAAATTTATAAAAATAATACTTTTGTTTTTTTTTCCCGTTCACGTCCAAAACAGTGAGGAACTGATTCCCTCCAATTATTGTGTATCTCAATAACATATTATTCTTATTCTCACTATAAGAATTATACTGTTTTTCATGGCAATACCAAGAAAATTCAAATTAAGTGCAAATTAGCAGAAATCATTGGGAGACATAAAACGAAAGAAAGCGAGACACACACTGTGCAGACAGAACATTTTGTTTGGGCAGTGTCGCAAAAAAAGAAGTTGTGTCATTCTTTCTACTTAAAGCTACAGTATGCAACAACATCGTATAAAATTGTGTATGCGTCCAGGGAAGAAATATATAATAGAACGAAAAAACAGAAAGCATGGGACGGATTGAATTCCTTTCAACGATTGGAAGAGGCTTGTTTTGGAAAGCAGACAGACGGCGAGTCAAGGCTATAGGAGAGAGGAAAAACGAACATTGTTTGCTGATCGAGTGGATGGGAGAAGCGGCAAATCACCAGGCTTTCTTTTTTGATTATTTTCTGATCATTTTCTCAATACGATTAGAAATGTAAAAGAGAGATACTCTGTTTCGTTATAAGCTCCGCAAATTTTTCGCTGCACTGAAGCACATTAGGCAGCTCAGAGCTTTTACACTTTAGTAGCACCAGTACTAATGGGAAATGACCCATTTAACCCGGAACTACAGCTAGAAACCTGCACTTGGTCTCTCTTTTATTTTTCTCACTGAATTCAAAACTGAAAAAGAAACCAGCTGCCGCGAAGTACATGACCACTTTCTCAAAAATCTGAAATACATTAATAGGATTTGGAAAATGTGTGAAGATGAAAGGAGACACCATTTCCTGAATTGGAAAAGAGGAGAGAAAAATAATATTGCACACATGAAAATGAAATGTTGAGAAAATGTGGTTGGATATCTATTTCGCCTTACTCCTCGGTGTGCAATAAATCACGTTTAAAACTAAAACACATGAGGGATGAGAGAAAATGAAAAAAATATGATTAAAAGAAAAAACGAAGACGAAGAGGCAAAGAAGCGACAGCGAGATAGGATAGGATTGCAAGACATTCTGTGAAATTGAATCATAAAAATGAGAAAGTTGAATTATAATGGACAAGTGCAGAGAGCTGTCAGATTAGTGGTGCATTGAATACGGTGCACGTCATGAATTCAGCATCATCATTCAAATAATCTGTTTAGGGGTTTATTGCTAGAAAAACTAGCTGGACAGATTAAAACATTCAGTTGTTTGCATACACAAGAATAAAATCCCATAAAAACTTTATTTGATATTTTCTTACTAATTTTTAGATATAAGGTATGTGGACGACTGTTTTTTTATTTGCTGAACTGGCAGAATTCTTATGAACTGATAATCATAGAGATTTTCACTAGTTTTTCCCCCTTTTTTGTCTTCAATAAATTTATCAGAATAAACATTTTTCTTTGAAAATTTCGCCAAAATTAATGTTTTAAAACAACAGAGTGGGTGTTTAAAGAAAACTTTTTCCAATGAGATTGTGAGTTTTTTCAAATTTTTTCCGAATTTCGACTTTTTTCCTTAATTTTCAGATTTTTTTTTCAAATGTGAAAACTCGGGCATTATTTTTTCAAGTGTGCTAATAATTAAATACGGACATGTATTATTTTATAAACAATCAAAAAATTTTGAAGAATCTCGCTATCCAAAATGTGTGTTAGCCTTGGAGCGTAGTACATTTTTCGCCTAAAGGCATAATCGAATTACAAGACATTTTGTTTTGTGCAAACACAATAAAGAATGCAATTTCTCTAGAAAAAAAAACCCAGAAATTTGCGTTTTTCTTACTATTTGTTTCTGCTATCATCTTATCAACGTAATAGTGTGGTCTGATGTTGCATTTTATTTTTGATGATCGCTGGACACTCGACTGCCATCATCACCTATGAAAGAAATAAACCATGAAAATGTTCGATTAAGCAAAATTCTCGGGTTCGAGAGAAAGAGAAAGTTGTTGTGAGACGTGAGGTGAATTCGAAAAAAAATCTACAGGTCGCGGAAGTTCTAAAATATTTGACAGAGAAACGTTTTCATGAAAACTTGGTGGATGAAAATCAAGATAACGCAACCTGTACAGTTTCTCGCGCACAATTAATCTAGTTAAAGTATGCTGAGAAGGGAATTTAGAAGAAATGAAAACGAAGGCCAACGAGAAATGTTCGAATACATTCCGGATCTGAACAAGGGGTTGAAATTGAAGACAGACTTTTTTACGATTGATTCGCACATGGTGAATAATAAACAAATTTTCAAATTTCAAAACAAATCTTCCATGAAATCTGATTCCAAACAGTTCCGAAAAATAAATTATCACAAATTGTATATAACTAACATTGGAAAGTGTAATTTTTCGAAATTCAACAATGGTAAAATGTTTTTCGAAATATTTTAAAAGATATCAAATAATAATTGAGCACCAAATCACTTCTAGAAAACAGAAAAATACGATTATCGATTTTTTCTATTGAAACTCCATCAGACCCTCAATTTTAAGGTCAATTATCTATATTCCTATAGATGATATCAAAATTTTGTCAACTAATAAAATAATGACACTTTAATTATTAATAATTTATTAATTTACAAATTTTACATATCTTCTAAAGAAATCGAGATCATTGGCTCAAAGTTGACATTTTGGATAAGCTTCTATTAATTGAAAGATGGTATATGTTTAAAAAAAAATAAAAGCGTATGCTGTATTTTTTATTTATTTATAACATAACTAATGAGATGCTTTCTTTTTTTGAAATTTTGACTAAATCTTCGGTCCTGCATTATTGCGACCCTTGCAAAAACATGTCATTATCATTGTCAGGCTCTCACCACGCAGTAGTATTTTGTTGATGTTTTATACAGTGCGTTGCAAAATTATACGGCCACTCATGTTTTGGATCATAACTTTTGAACCGTTATAGTTATCAATCTAATTTTTTGAAAATCAGATTTGAGATTATAAATTACATTTAGTGGTCAATTTTCGTGATGAAAACTTGAAAACTACCCGAGTTATCTGAAAAAGTCTGAAAATACACCATTTGCAACAGTTGCAGAATTATACGGCCACTAAACAGATCGGGTAGATCATGACCTCCAGGAAAGACGGAGGAGTCTAATTTTGATTATGTATGATTCATAGCACTGTAAAAAACTGTTTTCATTATGTATGTTCTTTTTCTGTGAATTCGGCATTATGCCCGTGATCGTTTGCTGATTTCTGCTGAAAAAAGCTTCAATCGGCGCGTTTAGATAAGCTGGAAAGTTCGAAAAAGCCAATTCAAAGCAACTTAATTATTCACACAGTTCATTTATCCAATTCGTCCTAACTTGGAAGCCAGAAAATCATCGAAAAACTACTGCATCAGTTCTAATCTTGAAGTCAAGAGATCCATTCTTGTTTCTCCGAACGCTTTGAAGCCGCGTCTTGATATGATACGGTAGTTGGATCTAGGGGGTAATTAGTAGAAAGTTTGAACAGCTCGTGAAGATGATAAAAACATCAAAAGAACATTCGTGCGCTCTGATCCGAGGCTTTCCGACGGTCACAAACTACGTCGTCTCGACATCTCCCGGGAGAGTGTGAGAACGGACTGGATGGTGGCGTGAAAGCTTAAAATCATCTTACAAAATCATTTTCCTCTGATTTATTCTTCATCAGAGAAAATAATTTAAAAAACCTATGAGTTATTTATCTTTTCACATTCGGTTTTCATACTCTCCCGGGAGATGTCGAGACGACGTACTTTGTGACCTTCGGAAAGCCTCGGATCAGAGCGCACGACTGTTCTTTTGATGTTTTTATCATCTTCACGAGCTGTTCGAACTTTCTACTAACTACCCCCAAGATCCAACTGCCGTATCATATCAAGACGCGGCTTCAAAGCGTTCGGAGGGACAAGAATGGATCTCTTGATTTCAAGATTAGAACTGATGCAGTAGTTTTTCGATGATTTTCTGGCTTCCAAGTTAGGACGAATTGGATAAATGAACTGTGTGAATAATTTAGTTGCTTTGAATTGGCTTTTTCGAACTTTCCAGCTTATCTAAACGCGCCGATTGAAGCTTTTTCAGCAGAAATCAGCAAACGATCACGGGCATAATGCCGAATTCACAGAAAAAGAACATACATAATGAAAACAGTTTTTTACAGTGCTATGAATCATACATAATCAAAATTAGACTCCTCCGTCTTTCCTGGAGGTCATGATCTACCCGATCTGTGGAGTGGCCGTATAATTCTGCAACTGTTGCCAATGGCGTATTTTCAGACTTTTTCAGATAACTCGGGTAGTTTTTAAGTTTTCATCATGAAAATTGTCCACTAGATGTAATTTGTAATCCCAAATCTGATTTTCAAAAAATTAGATTGATAACTATAACGGTTCAAAAGTTATGATCCAAAACATGAGTGGCCGTATAATTTTGCAACGCACTGTATATTGATCATCAGGCCTGTTTTCCTCAGAAAATATACAGCTCTAAGAATATTTCTTCCAGCAATGTTCAGATTTTTGATTTTTTTCAGAGGTGCCCGCCACATCAAAAAATCACTAGAGCAATGTGAAATGAATCCAATTCCAAGAATTCATAAAGTCTAGACACTTTGGCAATATCTCCCCGTCATTTCCTACAATCCATCATTCCACTCTGATTTTGCTATTTTTCACCGCCGCCAAAAAAAAGGCGATGGCTATCTCAGAGAAGAAGACTAAAATTAATGTGAACGTTACATTTTGCTTGTCAAAATCGCTGATTCTCATGTGTATTCCCCCGGCTTGAAACCTCAGATTGCCTTAACATCCACACGAAAAGTTACAAGCTCTTTTCGCCACTTTCTTGTGGTCCCCTCCTTTTTTCTTGAGGCCCCGACGAAAAGCGTTTAGTCAGTTTTTTGTTGTGTTGTTGTGCTTTTCTGGATTCGTGGCTGCTATTGGCATATTTCACATTTCTGACATGTGTGTTTTCAAAAGTCTGCGTGTGAGAAAATACTCTTGACACGCCTTATGAGCATATACTTTTTCATCAAAAACCGCACACTCTTGCCTCCGCTTTAATCGACAAGCTATTTTTCATGGTTAGAGCTCCTGCCAAATGTGGGGAGGGCTTTTATTTTTGTTTCGGAGTGAAGGCAAATCTTTTGCTTTTCATTTCTTATTCTCCTCCCTTTTTATTTTTCCTGCTTCGTGTGTGTTTTCTGACTTTGAAGATTCACTTAAAGAGGGGCAGAGCTCCCAAATAATCTTGACTGACAGACAAATCCATTTTGTTTCCATAGAAAAAAAAAACGAGGAAAACGAGCAATCTGCATGGTAGTCTAGAGCTTATTCTTCTATGTATTTTTCCAAAAGCTTTTTTCATTTGTCCGTTTCCCTTTTCTAGACACCCCTTCATTTTTTATTCCGTCCGGTGCTCTGGTTTCTTAAAACGGAACAATGGACAAACCAACTTATTCTTCTTGATCATTCAGAGAAAAAATTTGTGGGAGAGACTTTGGGACGCGGAAATTGAAAATTAGCAGCAGACTAGACTATTTCTGTGTAATGAACAAAAACTTCCTCGTGATAGGAACAAGGAAGAAGGTTTACATTTGATAAGAATTCGATGTCTGGTTTCTAATTAACACTCACATATAAATTTCGATGAAACTAATTATCCGATAATTTTTTCTTGATTTCACAAAACTGATGAACACAACTTCACTTTCTTTTTTATTCATTGTTTCGTATAATCTTTTATGAAAAGGAATGTTTATAGCAATGTTTGATCCGGATCTGCAAACAAAAATATCAATCGCCGAGCACAACATCGGAGGAACTGTCCAAAAAAAGTTTGAGGCAGTGGCTACTGTGTTTAGGTGAGTCAATTTTATACCAAAATTCTAAGTAAGTAAATTCTAATATTGCAGTGAAAACTTCAATAATGGTCTGGAATCTGCCGGTGCGTCGTTCACGGTATACCAAAATGATAAGCTACTTATCAACTTGTTTGGTGGATTGCGAAATGTGGAGAAGAAGCAACCATGGGTGGAGGATACAACTTCTGTGATTTTTTCAACAACAAAGGTAGCAAATACATAATTATGGCTCCACGCAATGTTTTTTTCAGAGCATATCAGCTGTGATTCTGGCATACACTCTCGACAAACATCAAAAGGGTATCAGTTATGAAACAAAGATCTCCGATATCTGGCTAAATTTTGGCAAGAATGGAAAAAAGGACATCACAATTTTGGATGCGGCACTTCACCGGGTAATACAAGATGGATTTAAAAAATTAATATACTTTTTCGTACAGGCTGGACTTGCTTACACCGAGGAAGTTCTAGAAAGAGAGGATATTACGAAACCGGAAAAGATTGCAAAGTTTTTTGAAGAAGCCACTCCGATGACAAATGGATCTGATGTCTTGTATCACGCACTGACATTTGGGTGAGTGGAGAAATAATAAATGATTAAATGAGAAGGCATAAATAATTGGGTTAATGACTTCTAGCAATGATTAGAGAACATGTAGACACAAAAGAAATCGAAGGAACTTACGTTTTCAGACTTCTCCTGGACCAAATTGTGCGAAGAGTTGACGAAAAACAACGAGGGATTGCTGAAATTCTAGATGAAGATTTTATTAAAAAATATGGTTAGTTTCGTATAATAGGAAGCTGTGATTATGTTTGCGAAATGCAATTTGAGTCCTTATGAATTATAAACGTCTGGTTTCAGGTATCAAAAATCTATCAATCGGCTTGAAATGTGAGACTCATAACGAGAAAGTTGCCAAACTGACAGAACTGGACGATTTGGAAATCGAGAGACAAGGTTTGTTTCACGAAGTAAAAAAAATTCTAAATCAGATGAGGATAGATAGAAAACGGGTGGATTCGAGGGCGGACATAATGTTGAAGGGGAGGGCAGAGGCAAAGAAATCATCCATGTTTTATTTATAGGGGTACTTAATCCGGAAGCTTTGGAAAAGTTCATGGCTGGCGATAACATTCATCATCAGAAGCTGTATTCAATTTTCCCATGGATTACAACGGACGATGTGAGAGAGAGAGAGGACTCTATTGATTTGCATAATCCGAATATAATGTGATTCCAGTATAACTTGGTTTCCAATCGTCTTCTTCCAATGCCCTCCAACATGGGCATCTCTAATGCGGAGGGACTGGCTCATTTCCATTCATTGGTTGCTAGCAAGCAGATGCTCTCCAAAGAATTTTACGAGAAATTAGAGAAACCAGTTTTAGAGCACACTTATGATCATGCAATTGGATATGAAGAAAGCAAGGGATACGGTTTTCAGTACACGAAGAACCCAAAGGTATGAATGGTGTCTCAAAACATCTAAAAATGCATAGAATGTTTCCATCGCTATATTAAAAACTCATGAATACAAATGCCCCTTGTTCCTCTTTTTCAGGGACAATGGATATTTGGCCATTCGGGATTCGGGGGCCAAAATGTCAGGGTTGACTTGAATAATGGACTGACAATGGCCTACGTATCAAATGGAATGAAAATCACTGACGCGGATATGGTGGAGCCGTGGAGAAATCTGGTTAAAGAGGTCTATCGAGTATTCTTTGAGCAGAACGATATTAAATAACAAACTTATTACGAGACAACGAAAATAGAGACAGAAAGAAAAAACGTGACAAGAATGAATAAATGAATTGCATATATTTGTTTTCTATTTTTTCTGTTTCTTGTATTGACACCTGCATATTTCTTTGGAAAAATCTGATAAACTTTTTTAAAAATGTTTTTTCCCAATTCTCCTTTTTTCAAATAAAATATGAATGAAAAGTTGTCAGCAACAATTTTAGGTTGTTTAAATTTATTATTATTTCGGAAGAAACCTTGGATTTGAAAATTGAAACATCTCTTGTAGTTTTGAAGTAGAAATTGACAACTAAATAACTTGTAAGAAAAATTTGGTTAGCGTATTTTTTCTCAATGAAATGTTACTTACACATGTATCTCCAATTCAAGCCTTATTATCTTGGGTGGTTAAGAAAATTCCAAACAAGGCTAATTTATAGAAATGTCTGCCATGAAATGAACAACTTTGTTCACCAATGCTATATACTGTAAACACTCTAATAAAATTACTTTCCTAATTTTCAATTTTGAGCCGATTTACTTAAGTTCCTGTGAAAGCTATCAAAAATGGTCAACTGGCGAAAAAATTTTTTGTATGATAAACAATTCAGCAGTTGACCATTTGTTAATATCTTTCACGCAAAAGGACTTGAATTTGACAGTTTGGGGACATTTTATTAGAGCGTTTACAGTATCTGACAGAAATCGAGAAAAGTTTGGTCAAAGTGAAAAAAATTAACGTATAAGTCTTTTGGTTTTTTTTTTGGCTTCGGGACATTTTTTCGGGCATTGCGAAAGCGCGACAATTTGAGAGAAAGAGATTCCGAAAGCGAACATTTCGAAGTCATGAAATTTTCTCTACCCACATAAAATCGGCCCGAAAATTGACGTAATGTCATAAAGAAGAGAATAATTTGAATGATTTCTCAAACCAGTTGCGAAATGACCGGTTCTAAAACGTTCGGTTGGAGAATCACCTGTTCTTAATGGTCCAGTTACAAAATTACCTTACCTAGACAGAAATTATCAGCTCCGGGTCTAAACCGTCTCGTCGCGAATCGACCAACTGCAAAATGATGCATTATTTTTTGATAAGGTTGACTTTGAAAAATCAAAAAAAGAGTGTATGAAATGATGTTGAAGACGATTCTATAGAGTTTAAAAAAAAGCATAAATTTTTAGGTTTTTACCGATTCGCGAGTTAATCACAAAAGGTTAGAGTAACTGAAAAGTGAACTACAGAAACTTGTACTGAATAGCCAGACTATAAAGCCTGTTGATCCCTCTCGCCGCGTAGAGGCTCAATTCTCGAAAGAGAAACGGTTGTTTTACCAATGGGATCACCTTCAAAACCCATCCGCTTCAATTAATCAGAAACCTCAACAGAGATTCTACAGTCCGAATCCAACGCTCATCCACGTCTGCTTCAGAAAATCAGAAACGTCAACTGAGATTCTACAATACGAATCCTCCGCTCATCCACAGATAGTTTGACTCTGGTTCTGCGAGCTCATATACTCTGAGGTGGGCGTGGCCATATGGACATGACCAGGTGGGCAATTTTGATTCAGCCTCACTTCTTTTTCTCAAACTCTGTTCCTTGCTCAAAAGAAAATTTAAAATCAGCCGGCTTCTTTTGCATTCCATAAGTACGTCATCATAAATTAATCAGATGAAGGAGATAATACAATGAAGATGATAATTACCCAAATAACACTAGTCGTTGAAAAGGTATCTTAAAAGATTACCTATGGGAAACAAGTTATAAAAAACCGTAAAATTTAAAAAAAAACTTCAATAAAATATTGATAAAAGAGGAATTCGCTGATAAAAAAACGCGACGATACGGTTTAGACCCGGAGCGGATAAATTCTTTTTAGGTGAGGTAATTTTGTAACTGGACCATTAAAAATAGGCAATTTTCCAACCGAACGTTTTAGGACCGGTCATTTTGCAACTGGTTCAAAAAATCATTCGAATTGTCCTAATTTTTGTGACATTTCGTCAATTTCGGGCCAATTTTATGTAGGAAGAGAAGATTTCAAATTTCGAAATGCCCGCTTTTGAAATGCTATGAATGCTGTCGAGAAACTGTCACAGTTCCTCAATTATCGTGGAGTTTTAGATGATTACAAAATACATCTTATATTGTTCAAATTCGAAAAATATATATTGCAGACAGTCCGAGAATGATGCTGGTAGGTCATTTTGTGAATGTCGTTGTTAAATAAAAAATCGATTTTTTTCAGAAATTCAATCTGACCGGGTTTGACTAAGACAAGAATTGGGAGCATTGGAAGGACAGGATGATACAATTTTCGGAATCAGGCGTCGTCCTGCTTCCCTTCATGAAACCATGCTATGCTCATTTCGTAATAATTTGTTATTGTTTCATATCATGTTTTTCTCCCATTGAGATATTGTTATTACTCATCGGACAAATGTCATAAACAATCATTTTTCAAAAAAAAACATTTTGAAGATTTGAATAGACAGAATCCATAAGTCTTCTACAAAACGACGAGATTTTTTTTGCGCAAAATGTACTACAAATGCGTCGAGCCCAATCAGACAAACTCGTTTTCTTGTCTGAAATAGCAGCTAATTGTTTTATTTCTTTCGCCTCACAGATTCTGGTATGAGCGTTTTTTTTTTGCCAGAGTACTACAGATTTCTTTTTTGTTTTCATTTTCTAAACGCCTTTTTTCCGTCTGCTACCGGTGTCATTTTCCTACCGGTGCCGTATTTGCTCTCTGAATGGCCATTTCAAATCGTCTGGGAGAAAAAAGTGACAAAAGTTCAAACTCGTCATAATGAGATAGATAGATAGAGAGACCCAGGAGGTACGACCTTTGACGAGCAATAGATCTTCGCGCCTCGCATTTTGATTTGAATTTCGACCCAATCACTAGTCGTTTTCTCTCCTTGACTCACTCCTCATTTTTTCTGTTCGTTTTAATCGATTAAAAAATGTTTCAGATGATCATTGGCTAATCTTGGATAGAAAAATGAAGAGTATTATCGAGAAAGTGACTTCTCGAAACTCGGATAAAAATGAGAAGATCGTACCGATGCCGACGGAGCTGCTGGTTCCAACAAAGCTGATACATCCGAGTAGATTACGTCGTGAGTTTGAGATATAATTAGGAGTTCTGAAATTCCGTAAGTGCAATTACGGTGGTGTTTAGCAATGTGCATTTTTGAACATGACTTGTTTAGTTTGGCGGATCCAATAACTTGATTAAAAAACAAATCGAGAAAGTAAATTATTTAATTTCATCAATTCTCGAAATTGTAGGAAAAAACCCGCGACTTTTTGGTTAGGGTACTTCCGTGGTGGGTAAGGTTCAGCGTCCTACCTGTTCTAAAAGTTTCTGGTAGGCTCAGCTTTTTTCCAAAAGAACGGACAGCTTGGCCAACGGCAACGTAGTCACACGAAATTATAGGAAAAATTTTGAAAAAATCTTAAAATGAGAAAACCGCATCGTATCTGGTATCTGGTGGCTGGCGGACGAGTGTGAATTCGTCTCGGCCAGCACGCTAAAATTCAAAGAATTAGCCACCAGAGTCTTCTTTGATGCGGGTTTTCTCATTTTAAGATTAATTTTAGATTAATTTTTTTTGTGAATCTATATATTTTTTTACAAATGAAAGCAACAGTTCACGGTATTCCACCTTAAAAGTCTATCCCAATTGTTTCCAAATTTCAAAATACTGAAAACACGATCATTTCTGCTATAAGCTATTAACATTATTCATTTTATTCAATAACACTGGATAAGATTTTTGTCGAGCTAGAGGCAATCGCTCTGTGATTTTAGAACATCTTGAGTTGTATAACTTATGATTACTCTGGAAACCTTGATGAAAAATTTTCTGGGTAAATAAACATAAAAAAGCACCAATTTCGTAGTTTTCAACTTTTTGTGTGTGTGTGTGCAGATTCATACGATTGAGATAAAATGCAAAAAAGTATCAAGATTCTGAACTCAGTTGTGTTTCTGGAAACTATGGTATTTCGTTGGTGTCAAGTGGAATCTATCGTTTGGATGAATTTGTAATAAAAAAACCTGTCAGATATAAAATTGAAGCTCTGATCTTGTTTTGTGAATCTCGGAATTTTCAATCTCTTCCGAAACAATGTACTTAACTCTCTAGGAATTGGAAGTTGCCGTTTTTCACTAGAATTTAAGACAAGTTGATAAACTTTTGGTTGGTACTGTAGTTCTGAAAACCCGTTAAAAAAATTTTAGGCATTTCAGAAAACTGCAAACTTTTGGGATTTTTTCAAAACTCCTTAATCACTTTTGAATCTTCCAAGTTTTCCGATAACATTTGATGGAAAGAAATACTCAATATTTCCATTTACATTAATCCTTGACCCGTTTTAGCTCTTTTAGAGTAAAAACATTTCTAAGAACACACTGCTAACCCAGCACTCAAGAATAATCCACCAGGACCAGCAAAAAAACCTTTTGAGGTCGAGAGATTAGCAACAAACGACAGCAGCAGAAACCTCCATTTTCATTTGTTGGAGTTTCCGAATTTCGGTATACCCTTGGAATCTAATAGTATCTCGTTCCTCATAGGAAATTGAATTTAATTTTGAAAAAAAAAACAAGTTTGTACTTTTCTTTCGGCTTCCCTGATACATTAAGCTCTTTAACTCCCAATTATTGAATACGTCTCTCTTGACAAAAACAACATCGACAAAGTCGGCCCCACTGTGCACAACACAATATTTGCTCATAGAGACCTCCTCACCCAATACTCTCAGCTGCAGCGTTCTTCTGCATTTCCTCTTCTTCTTCCTCAATCTCCACGTTTTTCCTCTTCTCGCCTCAATGAGAGTGGTGTCCTCCCGATGTCCTCTCTTTTCCCTCGGTCTCTTCCTCTCGTATACACACCACACTCCTCCTGTTCTATCCGTCCTTTACGACATTTCTTTGGGTCCGCCACGCACATTGTTTGGAGGATGGCGCATCTTTTTAGAGCGGATTTTATGTTATTTTTTTGAAGAATCCATAATTTAAAAAAAACTTTTTGAACTCCCAGATGATCGAATGATGGTTGTCGATAGGAAGAATTCGCTGGATATGAAACCCGTTGACAGTAAACGGGCTTTCGTGAAAAAACGCAGCAAGTAAGTCATCTTTACAAGATTTACCGCTTCAAAACCGCATTTTCTTGCAGAGTAACGGCGTCTGAAGTCCGCAAACATGTGATTAGTGGGCTTCTTCCGATTCATCGACTGACAGACGGTGAAAATGGTTTCGACTTGGACATTGCTATGATGGGCAAGGTAATCAATAAATGGCAACATCTGCGCAACATTCCCCTCTCTTCTCAGGTACAATATACAGAACCAGTGCCTCCGATTGACGTTGAAACGCTATTAGAACAGAAAAAGACGTGTCTGCTGTACTCAATTTCTTCTCCAAAATCGTCGAAACCGTAAGCTTTGTAATTATACAGTATAATCCAAAAACTACATCCAGAATCTTTGAATATGTGTCGGACGACGTCGAAGTGAAAACTATCAGACAAGACGGGTTATCAGATCACAACTACACAACAATCCCTCAGTAAGAAAACACTGATAACAACTTGCAGTACGTTTACAATCCGATATTACAGCATTGAAAACCACGTCCGGGACATTTGTGCGTTTTTCTGCGACGATTTCTCGTTGGTCAACCGAAAGTGAGTTTTTTGTTGTGAAAACCCAATGAATATTCCATTTTCGAGTGAGAAAAACCAACCGTAAAAATTAGTAGTTAAACAAAGGAAAGTTTGCGGTTCATCTGTTTCAGAAAAAATGACGGAAAAAGGACAAACTAAGCAAAAAAAGAGCAAAGCTTGAGCTTCAAACATAAAATCACAAACAGGCCTTTTTGCGAGCCAACAATTTGAAAAAATTGTTTAGAGCCAGAATTTCAAAACCACAAACGATTGAGCGTATATTTCTAGAATACTGTAGGTCATACTATACCTCAGGAGACAATTATTATGTTTCTGAAAAAACTGAACGAATTGAACTGAATTTAAACTCTAAAAAATGAAATTTTAGCCGATTCAAACATTAGAATACGGGAAAACAGTTTTTAAAAATTAATGAAGTACGAATGAGTTTTGGGCAAGAGTTGGACGTTCGTTTGACATTCTGCCATTAATTTTCCACGGCAGGGTTGCGGCAATAGTTAGGTCTGCTTTGGGACATGTACTGGGTACGAAAACCGTATTATGTGAGAAAACCGCATTTTGTAATACTGTCTGGATGTTGAGCGTTTTTCCAATCAGAGGGGCACAGTTGCCTCAACGGTGGGAATCTACAAATCATCCAAAAATCACTGAGTAGAAACATAACCTTGAATGCGATATTTCAGACATGCTCAACTCGGAACCGAAGACATCAAGGACCGATGGAATCTGGAGAAACTTACAGCTCACCGTTCTCTACGACCACAACTCTTTCATAATGGGCTTCGGATCATGGATCGGGAACCTAGCACGATTTCTCTTGATGGATCATACGACGCTACCGATTTGGCAAAATGCGCAAGTGAACAGTTCTATGGTAAGTGTTTTTTGCTATCAATTTGAAATTTGATTCGTGAAGTTACAGTATCGATGCTCAAAAAATCAGCTATTGACAAGAACACTCTACTCTACTCAATGCTTTCAAAAAATCGAGTCAAACACTTCATGAACTGCATTCAGTCAGAAGATAAAGATTGGAAATGGGAGAAACGAGGGATTCCAAGACTTCCAGAGCAAGAGGAGACGCCGAAACTGTTTGTTAAAGTTGAAAAGGCAAATGCGGACCCATACTTCGAGCCACTGTTCCTATCAATGGCTGTTTACGACATTCGGAACAAGCAAAAGGTCACGGAATCTGTATATTTCAATGTTGCGGACCACGACAAATTGGATATGCTAGGAAAAAATCAACCAAATTTTATCAACGCGTGAGTTTTTCTATTTGAAAAGCTTCGTAATTAGTTTTTGCTTTACAGAAACATCAAAGCCCTGTTCAATATCACTGGTGTGCTTTCAGATATGTTTTTGGTGATCAAGGTAAGTATACTGTGAATAATGCTAAAATTCTATTTACACATTCCAGATTGAGAAAGTGCTCCAACAAACTGACGTATTTGACAACAGCGAGCCATACACAGGCACTAAAGAGGAACGGAATTTGGAGAAACTGAAAGTGACTGCTGAGGATAATTTTCAACGATTGGGTGCCTACCGTACTCCACTCGGAATTCAAGTAGTTGATATTCAACGAGTCTTCAATGCCAATGTCTCTGCAACTGCTTGTGGGTCGGATAGGAGGACGGACCCAATGTTGACCTCCCAGTGCACAACCAGCTCTGGGGTTATTATTACTAGTGAGTTGCCGTTTCCTAGCAAGCATTAGTTACGATTCTTTTTCAGCCGCCGGACAAGGACAAGATGACCGTTGTAGCATTACCAGTGCCGATAGAACTTCCATCGCATCTGTGGGATCCACACTGAGAAGATTTGGTAGTGGAACTTCAGCGGCGACAGTCTTCAGTCGCGTACGCACTCCACTTACCAAAAGGAAATTTGCACCGATTTCGAATTTGTCATCAAGCAGAGATATACCAGATTGTCTGGACAATATGCCATCTTGCAATTTGAAATTCAACACGTTCATCCGCCAGGAAGCTGATAAATACTCGGAGGAAGACATCTATCGGATTTGTACTGAAGTTCGCAAAGCGCATGGGAAAATCAACAAAAAAATGTTCAGCTTTGAGCTGGAACTGACGCTTGCAGGTACTGTTTCCCGAAACTAGCAAATAATAGATATTATTCCAGGTTCCAATAAAAGCAAGGAGTGCCAAAGCCATGGGAGCAACTTGACACTGAGCAGCGAAAATATGATCCACGAGGCAATTGAAATCCCAAAATACAAATCGACATTGAACAAGTCCTACAAAAATGTGCTATTCGTCTACCCGAAACATATCAACCTGACTGCCAGAGCAGGAAATGCACGAAATATCATGATCAAGGTTGGTGACACTGCATTTTCAGAATTATATATCTATGAATTGTTTTTAGATTGAACTCATGGACGCCAAGGAAATACCACAGGAGGCAGTATTTGAAAAAGGAGCAAATAGATTGAGTCTCTTGAAAAACGCCAAAACAACTGTGATCTATCACAACAGAACACCCCACTTCACTGACGAGATCAAATTGCTCCTACCTTGTGATCTGAATGATGGCCATCATCTTCTTTTCACTGTGTACCATATTTCGTGCAAAGATGGCGATTCATCTTCCGCAGAAAACGCTATCGGATACACTTGGCTTCCTTTATACCGAAATGGAAAACTTCGCAGTGGAGACTTCCATCTTCCAGTGTGTGGAGAAAAACCGCCATCCAGTTACGGATACCTTGATGCTCAAAACGCTCTGCCAAACTTGAGATGGATCGATAATCACAAAGCGATATTTTTCTGCTCAACAAGAATGATTTCTAGTGTTCATGCGCAAGATGGATATTTGGAGAAATTTATGGCTGGAGTAGCTAGTCTGAGCTCAAACGACCCTAAGAAGCCGCCAGTAGGAGAAACAGAATTGATCAACTGTCTTGATGTAAACCATTGGGCAGGTTATTAATTCTGAAATTATTTTGTTTTCAGAACTTGCTCAAAGCCGGGCCCGATAAACTTGTTGCATTTATTCACTTCATCCTAAGCAGGCTTTTTTTCTTAATTGCCAATCCACCATATACCGATGAACTGTCAACTAAAGCGTTTGAATGCATTGGAAATTTGGTGAAGCTTTTTTCAAGGATGTTGGATTCTGATATTGATGCACACAACCGCAGTATGTTGTTGGCGTCATTTGTCAAGTATCGAAAACAAGCCGCACAAGGTGAAATATTTATCTAAAAATTTTTGCGTCAATAAAATCATTACAGAATCCAAACCACACTCCAGTATCCGACCAGCAGAACTGAAAACCTCCCCGACTGATAATAGTATGCTAACCAGTATTATTGAGCATCAAGAAAGATCACACTCGTCTACTAATCTTGTGGCAACTAATGTCAGACTGCATGAGAGTCTTCTAGAAGTTTGGCTCCGTGCGCGAGGCACAGCCCGAGAAAACTCTTTGGTGAACTCTTGGTTCTTTCTTGAAATTACTGTGAGTCAATCAAATTGACAGAAAAGACATTGATGAATTAATTTTCAGTTGAAAGCATGCTCAGAGTACTTGACAATGACTGGACGCATTTTCTCATCAAGGAAGATCAGATTTGGAGAACAATTTTTGAAAAATGTTGAGACATTGATAGATATTCTTGCACAAGAGGTCATCACCAGACATGCGAACGATTTCGAAGAAGGAAGAATGATATCAAACTCATTGGGCTATTTCCTCAGAGATTGTTTCTCGATCATGGACAGAACATATGTGATGAAACTGGTGCATAAGTATCTGACGGCGTTCTCGGAAAGCATGAAGTGAGTTTTTTTTATATTGCGAAATTTATGCCTAATTCCCTATAATTTCAGAAAACTGGCTCACGGCAATGAACTACTCGCCATTAAAATAGATTTCATAAGAATTGTGTGCTCTTACGAGCACTATCTCATTGTGAACGTGCTCAGCGATATTGAACTACCGGAGGCTACTGTCACAGGAGCTGCACCTCCAGTTTCTTCGTTGTCTGGAAGTAAAACGAAGAAGTGAGTATTTAAAATAAAAATAGATAGTGGTTGAATGCAAAAAATACCGGTCTAAAAGATATACAAAAACATATTTTTCAGTTAATTTTCAGCTATGTCAACCATTTTCAGGAGTCTAGAGCTCGGCTATCCTTTAGAAATCGGCAGATAGCTGAAAAACAACAATTTTGACCTCTAGACTCGAGAATAGCCAAAATCAACTAAAAACACCTTTTTGTATGTTTTATTGACCGTTACTGTACATGTTCACGGGTCTGGCCGTTCCTAACCGGGAGTTTTCCATATTTTAAAAAATCAAATTGTTTTGTGAAAAAATCTTGAACACATATCAAAGAAATGGCAGGCAAACTTTCTTTAAGCAAACTTATCATTTAACAGAAAACTCGTTTTTAACCAATGCCAGTGCGGGCCCTAGTCGAGCCGGACCTTGGAAGTTCTGAAAAGAGCCGGCCCGTTGCAAACATGGTGAAATTTCTTTTTCAGAAATTCCTTGGCCAGCTGGACCATGACTGATAACTCACGATCGACGCATTATCTCTCTGGTCAAGTGATGTCGGATGTGAAAGATGCGATAGCTTCTGGAAACACCACTCTGTGTGCCAAGTAAGGAATATTAAAATATTTTTTCAAATTCATTATTTCAAATTCCTATGTTTCAGAGCTATTGAAACCGTCAAAGAGCTACTACAATCTCACGAGCTGGACAATAGAATTGCGGAAGGAGAATCCGCTGCCAAAGTCGCCAATATCTACAAACCTTTGGTTGGAATTGTGTTGGATAACATTGACTGCTTGTATTCCGGCTCAATGCGCAATTCTACTGATGTATCGTCCACCAACTCATTTGTGGAACAGACTTTGCGACAAGATGTGATGGCAGCGATAGCGGGAAAATTAAGAAATAGCCCAGATCCAAACTTTGGTCGACTTCAGATGGACCTCACAATGACGAAATCGGTAACATTTTCAAATTAAAAATTTAATAAAATTTGTTTTCTTCAGATTTTATGCTGCATGTTCTGGGTGCTCAAGCACATTGACCGAGAAGATCTACAAAACTGGATTGATTCCCTAGACCACGAATACATGCTGAAACTACTTCATATTATCTACTACACCATGTCCACCTTTGAAGTCAAGGATGACTCGGTGACAGCAAGAGTGAGTTTACCAATACCATTATTTTTTTTCTAATTCTAAAATTTTCCAGAGGTCCCCTGACAAGACATCCTTATCGAAGCTGGATGAAGAGCCAGAATCAGGAGAGGTGAAATGGAGAACTCGAAGCTCGGATACGTGTGACTCGAGAGCCGACCAAGTTTCTACTCTCGAAGCCATCTCATCAGATGCTATCGTCTCCTGTGAAGTTTTCATGTGCGTTGTAGAAGTGATTGACAACATTATCTGCATCGCAACTGATCCCAAGAACTCACAATTTCACATTCTTCCGATGGTTTTTCCTATCTTAGTGAGTTTTTTTAAACTACTTATCATTTCACAATAATTCCACATTCAGATGCACGGATTATCATGCAATGCATCAGATCAAGTATTGGAGGTCATTTTTGCGGCTCAACAAAACTTTTTCGCGAAATTCCCGGATATGATTCTTGAGCAGAAGCCTGAACTGTGCGCAGAACTGTCCCAACAAATTCTTCGCCACTGCTCGTCGACAAAACTGGAGAATGTGAGAACTATGGTGAGGAATTCATACCGTAACAACTAAAATAGTTTCGAATTTGCAGGCAACCGTTAGCTTGTATCACTTCCTCCGCGAAAACTTCAAGCTGTATAGAAATTTGACCCGTGCTAGAACTTTCTTGTCCACTGCGCTCTCTACGTTGCTCTCCGGAAGCTGTGGTGTGGATATTTTCGTGAATGACGAGTTCATGACAAAGAGTTTGGAAGTATCGAACTTGCGAATGAACAATTCCGTGTATCTTCAAATTTTCAGATTGCAAACCAGCTTGCTGCTGAAGATGACATCTTCGATGAGACAACCAAGCGGAAATTGACAGAACAGATGAACGAGTTGACAACAAATCTCCAGAAAATCATGTTGAGCACTGTCAGAATGCGTGAGCACGTAAACGATTACGAAATGACGATTGATCTGATGTACCAGCTAGTGGAAGGCTATTCCAACAATCCGGATCTCCGAATCACTTGGCTTCTCAATATGGCAGAACGGCACGAGAAACAACGGAATCTGTGTGAAGCAGCGCATAGCTATCTACAAGCGTGTGCTCTGGTCTTTGAGTACATTGCTCAGAGAGATCAGAATTTGGCGTTTGAGTCGAAAGGAGCTGCCACGCTTGCCGATATCACACCGAATGCAATGAAAGAATCAAGAACTAACTTCAATGCGGTGAAAAAGTGAGTTTTGGTAGTTTGAAATCAAACTTTCAAATTTTATTTTCAGTTCCGACAACGAAAATCAGATTCAATCGTACCATTTCACAGAAGCTGGACTTGTGAAGATCCTTGAGAAAGCGTTCTCACTTCTAGAAAAAGCCCAACTCTATGAGCTACTCTTCCCATTCTCCAAAGTGATTCTCGACTATTGTCATGAGACCAGAAGCTACAGTAGAGTATCGCACATTCACAAACGGCTCAGTATCGCTGCTGAACAAATCAAAGAGACTGGAGAGTTCTATGAGAATCAATCGGACCCATGGCTATCTCCTCTGCCTGGAATTGATAAGCGCTGTTTTGGAACATTCTTTAGAGTGGCGTTTTATGGAAAATTGTTTGGTGAATTAAACGAAAAGGAGTTTGTGTACAAGGTAAGATTTGAATTGCAATACTCAACAAAATCAATAATATTCAGGAGTCCGCCTTTTCCAAGCTAAACGAGATCAGTAGTCGCCTCGAGATCTTCTACACCAGTACGTACGGAGAGGACAATGTGATAGTTCTGAAGGATTCGAAACCAGTAGACGTTCGAAAACTGAATCCTGAAAAGGCTTACATCCAGATCACATTCGTAGACGTCTACTTGGCCGATAATGAGAAAATGGAGAGATTGAGCTACTTTGAAAGAAGAAACAATGTCAGCATGTTCTACTACGAAACACCATACACAACCGAAGGACGTGCTCAGGGAGATTTATCCTCGCAGTATAAGAAACGGACGATTCTGACAGTGGAAAACTCGTTCGTTCAGCAAAAATCATTTTTGCATTCACCAAGAAGTTTTTTTCCAGATTCCCATACATCAAAACTCGTCTACGCGTTGTGAGTCGAGACGTTCTGAACTTTTCGCCAATCGAAGTTGCCATTGAGGATATCGACAGGAAATCACGAGAACTCGCGGCCGCTCTCCTGCATAAAAACCCAAAAATGTTGTCAATGTTGGTTCAAGGCTCGATTGGAACAACAGTGAATCAGGGCCCACTTGAGGTGAGCTAACAGTTTTTTTTCGTGTTGAAAAAATAACAAGAGTTGAGTAACAGATGGGAGAGTATTATAAAACAGAACAGAACAGTGCGTGCGGACTTTTTGTTTCAAGAAAAATATGATCTAAATCAAGATAAAAAAGTTCTTCTTTCTTAGAAATTTGAAAGAGAAGCTACTCGCCTATCGGCTTCTAACTATTTCAAAAATGGAAAAACTCGGCTTTTAGATATACAGCGGCGAGAAGTGGTGAGGAGAATTTTTTCGAACATTCATAACTTTGTTCACAATCGCTCGATTGACTTGAAATTTTGCATGAGAATAGCTGTAAAATCCAAAAACATAAAAATCGGTTTTTTGAAAATGTCTCATTTTCGGAATTTTCAGAGCGGTTTCAGATGTAACAGTGGTCCATGAATCCAAAAAAAACTTTTTTTCAAAATGTTTTCAGGCTTCGATTTTAGATGTCAAATGATTCTCAATGTTTAAATATGCACCAAAAAAGTTTTGAAGAGTTTTGGAAATCGGACTCTCGAGTTATGATGCCCAGAGCACAAAAGGTATGCGGTATTTTTGCCACAACTCAGCTGAAAATGTATTTTTGATGCTCAAATTTTCAGAAATGTTGTGTTTTGAGTTTTTTATCAGTTTTTTGTCAAATGTTTATCGATTGTAGAAAATTTTTTTCTCATTTTTAGATTTTAGAAGTTTTCCCTAGAGGTGAAAAAAATGAAAAAATTTCTTCTACAATTAAAAAACGTTTGACATAAAACTGATAAACAACTCAAAACTCATCATTTGTGAAATTTTGAACACCAAAAAATACATTTTCAGCTGAGTTATGGCAAAAATTCCGACACATACCTTTTGTGCTCTGACTCGAGAGCGCGATTTCCAAAATTTTTCAAGTCGTTTTTGGTGCATATTTAAACACTGAAAATCATTTGACATCTGAAATCAGAGCCAGAAAAAATTTTGAAAAAAACGTTTTTTTTTGGATTCTTGGACCACTGTCACATCTGAAACTGCTCTGAAAATTCCGAAAATGAGACATTTTCAAAAAACCAATTTTTATGTTTTTGGATTTTACAGCTATTCTCATGCAAAATTTCAAGTAAATCGAGCCATTTTGAACAAAGTTATTAATGTTCGAAAAAATTCTCCTCACCACTTAGCCAGGTTCTGGTCGGAACTGGCTCATAAACGGCTGCATGGGGCCATATTCAGATTTTAATTGAAAATTGTAAGCTGCTTTATCATACTACTAGTTCGGAAATTTGTCATCAGTACAGTACCGGTCAACAAAATATACAAAAACGACAAAAATCATTTTTAGTAGTTTTTCTGGATTTTAACCATTTTAGAAGGCTCGAGCTCGGTTGTCAAGTTTTCGATCACTTTGAAAATTTTGGAGAGTATAAAACAGATCTAGAGTGAGAACTTTGCATTTACACAATTTTTTGAAAATACTTAAATTTTCAGGACATAGCCGATTTGTACTGAAAAAAAACAACAGGTGTCTTTTAGAAATTGGTGAATAGCTGAAAAACCAGAAATTTCCCAGAAATTCTATAAATGCAAATGTTCAAGTTAGATATGTTTTGTAACTTACAAAATTTGCAAAGTCGTCGTAAACTTGACTGTCGAGCTCCAGACTCCTGGAAATGGTCAAAATTAACCACAACACATGTTTTTGTAAATCTTATTGGTACTGTAGGTCGAAACCTTGTCATAAGTATATTGGAGTTTTTTCGGCTTTAGTAGCGTCTTTGTACGGAATCCGACCAAACTCCGACCAGAACTTGCCGGCAACGCACCTACTGAAAACAGAATCTCTAAATTATATTTTCAGATCGCCAATGTTTTCCTGGCTAATGCAATGACCGATGAGCGTGGTCGACCCGTGGATCGACTCCAGAACAAGCTCCGTCTCTCCTTCCGACATCTCCAATTCCGAGCCATGGAAGCAATCGAACTGTCCCGTCAATTGATTAGTGAAGACCAAAAGGAGTACCAAGAGAATATGGAGGCCAACTTTCGAAGTTTCGTGACCCACCTGAAACCGATGCTGACCAGGGAGAAACACGAGATAACCATCTCCGAATTCAGCAAGCCCACCGTTGTATAAAACACTCATTTCTTCATTTGTTAACCTTTTTCTCTCTAAACATTTTATCCCGTTGTTTTTTACTTGCTTTATATCAAATGACTTTAATTATTGGTTTTAACTGGAAAAATATTGATTTCACTCGCCCTTTCAATTCTCACAAATCTCAATTTTCTTTTTTGAAATGTTCATGTCCTTTTTGCGGATATAATTTTTTCACCCTTTTACTTGTAAACTTTCCTCCTCACATGTTTTCCTCCCAACTTTTGACAACTAAAAAATTTTTGTTGGTTTGTGAGAAACAACATCTATACAATAATGAGGTGGCAGAAGAAAAAAAGGAATGATAAACTATTTTACGAGTGCCTCGGTAGCAGGGCATTGAAACCAAAACCGTCACATGCTTCATTCTTCCCGATTATTGACGTTCTTGTTCGGTTTTGTGTTTGTCCTTTTTTCCTTTTCTTACCTGTGCTGCTGCCAACCTAACTGATAACTATTTGATACACGCGCATCAAAAACGTGTTTGCAAATCAAATCAAATAATCCTATCCAACCCGTGTTCGCTGATACCCGAACACCTAAAAATTTGTTTGTCCTTCTCAAACATACACCTCCACAGGTAGTTTTTCTGGGGCGGAGTTACATTTTGGTAGCTACTCAGTCTCCAGGTTTCTCAATCCTCTTGCTCAAAGCTAACACATTTGAGATTGATTTATTTTAATCAATTTTCAAAATGCTTGGAATGCTCGAGAACAGTTGTGAGTCACCATCATTTCAACATAATTGTTTCAGCATCGTGGTGAGACCCACAGTCGAAAAAAAAACCATCTAGGAAATTCTATTCCATTCGTTGTCATATTTATTTCTCTATCTCTCTTTGTCCTTTTCCTCACTTTCTTGACTCCTAGACGGTGCGGAGATTTATGAGTGCCCTCTCTACTTCTATCATCAATTTTTTTTCAAAATTTCGGTGCATCAGAGTAATAAATTAATCTCGGTTGATCTGCAACAAATTTTTTAGCGTGTGAACGTGAAAAATCGGGGAACACATGACGGGACCGTGCAAGTTGCCCTTCATCTCTTGCCGATCCTCTCAATTTTTACCCGCTCTCTCCGCCCCAAAAATTGTTTTCTTATCAGTCACTGAATGGGCTCTCGTTTCACTTTACACTGTAGAAAACAGCAAAAAGAAGCGAAAAAAAGAAAGAAGAAGATGAAGAACGGGATTTTTCGAGAAAGTTTTCCGGATTTTTGAGCAAAGAAACGTTTTTGAAACCTGAACCTGAGAGGGGTTGTATAGTCAGATAGTTGACTTTCTTTCTCCCTCGTTCCATACTTTTTCTTCTCTTTTTTGTACTACTTCTTGGTTGTCAGTTCATCTCTATTTTTATCTTAAGAGTCAAAAATCTATGATTGATATGCTTAGGGCAGAAAGTTTAGGCAGAAAGAGACGAGTAAGTTCAACCCTTTCATTCATTTTTTTTGTTGCTTAACAGTCATTATCAGAGTCGCAGGTTTTGTTTACGCTCCATACTGTTTCCTTCTTTTTTCACAACGCGACCTTTTCTGGGGAAGACGATTCTTTTGTCTATTCGATTAAATCGGCATTGCACTTCCAAATTAGAACACACAGACACAAAAACGATTGGTAGATGGAAAAGAACCATTGTTGCAACATCTACCTCTCTCTTCCCTCCTCCAACTTCCACTTCCTCTTGATCGGAAACCACAAAACGCATTTTTTTCAAAAGTTTCTGCTTTCATCTTTTGAAAAGTCGGCAAAAACGCCCACTCTGTTGATTGAACAGTTCAGGCTGCAAATTGTTCCTCCCTTTGATATTCTATGGCGGCTAATATCACAAGTCCTAAGATTTTTCAAAGTTTGTAGCCTTGTGGCAAACCAGCATAACATTTAGAAAAGGGCGGGTAGAGTCCCTGAAGATTAGGGGTTAGTGCTTATTCATATGATTTGAAATTGAAAACTAAAAGGGAAATAAAACGTGATCTGTTAAATCTTTTCGTTTTGTATTCGGAGATTGGCGGTGACTTGGAAGAATTCAAACGACTAACCTAGGTGATAAAGAAAGAAAAACAACGATAAAATTCTCAGCGTTCTCATATACCTGTATTGGCTGTATGACCTTCTTCTTCCTTTTTGTTCCGGGGGGCGCTCATATTGCCCCCGCTCCCCCCTCACAGTCCTCATTCCCTCTTCCGAAGACGACGCTCCTCTCTCTAGCAACCTTTTTCTTGCTTTCAAACTCTTCTCTTCTGTTTCATAGCCCGATCGTCACCTCGCAACGTGGTGCTTGTGCTGGCCTCGTAGGGCAAAGAGGATGTATGGGAAAATCAATTTTTGTTTTCTTTTCACTATCTCTGTCGGTTTCTATCAATATATATCGTATTTGGCCCTGTCCGCCCAATCTGTTTCTTTCTCTCTTTTCTCGCTCCTTGATCGAATTCTGTCTCTCTCTCTTTCTCTCTCTCTCTCCCTCTCGCTTGTTCGTTCCACCTCTCTCTCTTGTTATTTCAATTTTAACATTTATTTCTACACCCCATCTCTTTTCAAACACATACCCACATCAAAGGGGTGTCGTCTCTATTCTTCCTATTTCTGTGTTATCACACTTTTTTTGCTGCCAAACTCTTCTGCTATTTCCGAACAACTGATCCAACAACAGCTGTATTTCAGGGGGAATGGCGGACGTTCTTACCAAAATTCCAGATACGAGTAGGTTTCTCACTTTCAGATTCTTATTCGGACACGCAGAGGGTTACAGTAACTATACTTGCAGACTGGGTCCGTCTCGAAATTGAGCCTGTCCAAGTGAGCCACGACGGAGACGAGACTCTCAACTTTGCTACCGTTCAATCTGTGGTCCCTGGCGCTCATGGACTTTACTACCGAGATGACGGAGAGAGAAAAGCTCTTTTGTGAGTACTGTAGTGTCACTTCCGATCTATTCAATTTCTCGGTTCACTGGGTCACTAATTAAAACAAACCATCTGCTTTTCTGTTTCCGTCAATTTAGTCATTATCCCCCTGTTGAACACATAGACAATAATCGGGATAGAATGGAGAGAAATCAACCTGGCGCGTGAGAATCGTTCCATCAAAATGAAAAATTGATGTGTCCCCCTCCTCTTTCTTGGTCTTATCAAAGTTTACAGTTCTCTTTATACTCGTAACCTTAACACCAGGTGAAACATGACTTGTTTAATTCAATGTGATAGGTCAATGTAAACAATTTTCACAAAATCAGTTGAGAGTGATAATTTGAAACCGGTTTTGCATATGTACGTAGAAATATTAATAGGCAAACGGGGATTTTTGATTTCACCGGAGGTCGTACATTAGAAAATTAACATAGTTGTTGATTTCTGGCATGGGTGGGATTCCAGGAAAGAAAAACAAGGGATTCTCAATAAATACACAATAAAGTCAATAAATTCAATAAATACAATAAATAATAATAATAAGGTCAATAAATACACAGCTATGTAATTTTCAATTAATTTCTGACCATTTTAGTTATTTTCCAGAATCCTGGAGCATGGCTTTCGCTAGCTTCCATTTTTTTTTCGAAATTTTGGACGATGTAAAACCGCTCGAGATAGAAAACTTTACATTCACTGAATTTTTTGAAAAATCCAAGTTTTTCAGCTATATGCCAATTTTGGAAAGCACCTGTTTTTCACATTTTCAGTTCAAAAACCAGCCAAAAAAAAGATGTTTCTCATTAATTGGCCAGTAGCAGAGAATAGAATTTTCAAAAACTTCTGTGAATGCAAAGTTTTCGATCTAGGTCTGTTTTACGCTTTCCAAAATAATCAAAATGATCGGAAACTGGACAGCCGAATTTCAGACTCCTAAAAATTGTGAAAATCGTAAAATGGCCAAAAAAGCAACTGGAATAAAGTTGTTGTGAAAACCTGCAGATGAGGTTTTATAGGACTCAAAGAACAAACCAATGCTAGTTAGTGCTAGGTTTTTATCTTTCCGATCTCATTATGTTTTTATTAGAATCTTCTTTTTCTCTCATCGGTCAACAAACTCATTTCTCAATTTCAAGGTTCGACAACAACACCGGCAAGGTTTACCCGCCGCCACAGGGATGGGATTCGGTGCCGATTTTTATCCATTTAGGTAGGTTGTCTGTCTTCAATCTTTCTTTTCTATTTCTTTTTCTCCTTTTATCTTTTTTTTCATTTGCGAGAAAGATATAAATTTGTCAAGAAAAAGAAACAATAAATTACGAATAGTGTCTAATGTTGTCTTTGTAGCACACGGATCACGCCACAGCCACGGAACCCACTTTGCCGACTACTCGAAGGCCAACGAATCGTTCGAAAAAAATATTGCGGCCGTCCAGAAACTTTTCGGTAAGCAAACGCGAAAATAAGAACTATGAAAACCGTTGTCGATTCTTTTGTGTCTTACAAAACACGAACAATGTTCAGCCGCTGCTGGTCTTGGTGGCAGACGATCGGAGAAAGTCTACACCGCCAGTAAGACTCGTGCTCGCAGCACGTCGAAGAAGAATCAACCACGTAGCCAATTCGATGCTCAACCTGAGAATGTGAACATCAGCGAAGAGAGCGAGGGCAGAGATTCCGAGAAGGAGAAGAACGATAGACAGATGGAGAAGCTCAAGAACAAGTACGAAGAGGTCAAGATTAGGTAATTCCTAGGCCAACAAGAAAATCTTTGAAAAATCATACCTCTCACAGAGCTAAAGAGTTCAAATCAGACTTGGCTGCTGCTCAGCTCAAGATCAAGACACTCGAGAAAAAATTGGAGAGTGTCAAGGAATCCGGATATTTCGAGGAAGATGGTGACAAGTTCGTCCACATTGACTCGGATTGTTACAAGTCTCCAGATCATGATGAGGAAGTCAAGTGAGTTTTCAGATAATCTGAATCCTTGGAAATATGGAATTTCAGCAACTTGCACAACGTGATTGAGGAGCTTCGCGACAAGTTGGGCTTGATCGAGACAAAGAACAAGGATCTTTCAAGCAAGTACGCCGAGAGCCAAGAGTATTTGAAGAATGCTCAAGACAAGTGAGCATTGTCTGTTTGATACCACACATGCTTAGAATATTTTAGGGTCGGATACTTGGAGAAGCAGTTGAATTCGGAGACTCACGATGAGACCAAGACAACTGCTTACCGTTCACTCGAGATCAAGCTTGGCTTGGCTCAAGCTGCTCTTCGCTCGGCCGAAATTGAGAAGCAGAACCTTCAAGAGGCTAACTGGATCACCAGCGAACGCGCTAGCAAGATCGAGCAGGAGAATGGATATTTAAAGGGAATCACTGAGCAGTTAAAGTGAGTTTCTATCTTGGATTCATCCAAATATCGATTTTCTGTGTTCCAGGGCTCGTGCTGACAGTTCGCATGTTGAGAAGTTGCTCAAGGATAGCGAGAAACGCGTCTGGGAAATCAACGAGGAGAAAAGTAAGCTCGAGTGGCGGCTCGGCGAGCTCTCTCAGTGGTGGAACGATGCGAAGTGGAAGGTCGGAGAGTTGGAATCCTCAGTTGCGTTCCAGAGAACTTTGCTTGACACAGCAAATTCGAAAATTCAAAGTCTTAACGATCAGTGAGTTGGGAATGAAGTATAGGGCACAGTATTAATAGGCCGAAATCTGGATTTTTTCCTGAAAAACTGAATTTTTAAGGTTGATACAGGAAGTGAGGTGAGGCTTGTGTTGGAGAGTTTTTAAGTGTTTCAGAATGTTCGAACTGAGAAATTCATCTCTTGATTATAGCCTTGCCAAATTCCATGAGCAAAGGCATAGAAAGCTTTCTCGAGCTCGTCTACTAACCAGGTTTTTCACTAAATAGTGTGATTGTGGTTTGTAGGTTACAAATCGTTTTGTTGGTACTTTGTTATATTTTGTCAATATTGAGAAAAAATTTTAGTATTTTTGAAAAAAAAAGATTTCTTCAGGAGCCAGTCCACCCAGATGACCATTCCAACCGACGGATTTACCATTAGCCAAGGACACAAAGGAAACTGGAACCTTGCCAAGTAAGATTCTTCTAAGATTGAAATCTAAATCTCCCAAAATTTTCAGTGGATCAGCACAACAGTTCACCGGAGCCATTCCTTCAATCCCACTCGTCTCAGCCCTTCCATTCGCAGGAGCCAACCCCTTTATCTTCGGAGGCGCCAATGAGGGAAGGAATGTTACCTTGACTATCGCCAACGCAGACCATGAAGTCTATTTGACAGTAAGACAGTCATCAATCATCTGAAGATATCTAATAAATCACGTTTCAGGGATCATTCATCAACTGGAAGTGCACTTTGAAGTGCGAGAAGTTGGCCAACGGAAAGAAAGGAGTGACGGTCAATTTGACGCGTGGAAGGTACACTTTTCATTTGTTTAACAAAGTGGAATAATTGATATTTTATAGACACGAGTTCCGTTTCATGATCAACGGCGAATGGTCAACATCGACGGACTATCAACAGGTGCCAAACGGTTTGGGCGGCCAGAACAACGTCATCTTTGTTGAATAATTCTACGGCGACACGATCACTTACATTGATTCATTTTGTCTTAAAATTACTTTGTCTCCAAAAATTTCTTTTCTCTTCACTCTCATGTTCTTTTTGTGTACCATTACAATTCCTTTTCCCCCAAAACCCCCCTCATCCCAAACATTGCAGTTAATCCAACCCCTTTTTTCCAAATTACAGTTTCGATTCACTAGTTTTTTTTAACGAATGTGTTGAGATTCTGAATTCTTTTTTCGGGAACTTTTTTTGGCATCGCCATGATGTGAATGAATGAATTTCGGTTAATGTCAAAAAATATAATTTTTCTCGGTTTATTACTGTTCTGGGTTATGAGAGGAAAAGGTTTCACCGTCAGCTTTTTTCAAGAATTTTTTTTCAAATTTCTCGACGGAGCAGGTTTGCAGAGGAAGAGAAAAAACTTAGTTTACACGAACTTTGTATTGCGAAATCGCATCTGCTAGACATGCTGGTTTCAAGAAACACGCAATTTGTCTCGATCTTGATAAATAAAGTGATAAAGGTTTGTAGCATGCTGCATGTTTGACTCTGATGGTTGATAAAAAAACTTTGAACAAAAAATACAAAAATTATGAGTGCATTTGTTTTTGGGGCCGCATAACCGTTCCATTCGAACGAATTGTTTAAAAGGGTACAGCCTCAAGTTAAAATGGAATATGTTTATATTGATTTTCAGAAAAAAGGTACATTTTTCTAAGCGTGTCAACCCACTCTTTGTCGGATTCTCATCCGGTTCTTTTTCGAATAAGCCTTTAAAGTTTCTAAATATTCGTAAATTGAATATTCCGCCGTAACTAATGGAAATGCGCGCTTTCGCACTGGCGCCAAAATATAGGCGGGAAATCTGTGAATTTGTTTTCTGTTCCCGTTTTTTCATCCATTCTTGTTCGGAGAAGGCCTTTTCCCCCTGTTTACCGATATCCCGAGCGTTGGCTCATAGTTTCTCTTGTTACCTTGATTTCCCTTGCCTTCTAGTTACCTTTTGCCTTGATTTCCCAGTTTAATAAACCAATTGTGTTATAAAAAGCTGTCTTCTTTGTTGTCTTCTTTCGTCTCACATTCTTCACTGAATTCGCCTTGAATTCAGTGATTTCGTTCCGAGTTTCCGCTTTTCCGTTTCTCTCCGTCTCTTCTCTCTCGTTTCTTTTTCTATTCCGGACTTGTGCACGGTAGCGCGGAGGAGAGATATCCTGCCGTTAAACCTGTACTTTTTCCGACTTGGGGGCCGAGCTTCAAGATTGGTTTCTGTGAAGTAAACTTGGTAAATTCGCCAAGTTCTTCGTTTTCGTTGTGAATTTTGCCGTATCAAGCTTCAAGATTGGTTTCTGTGAAGTGAGCGTGGTGAATTCGCTGAATTCTTTGCTTTTCAAGGAGAGATCTTGTGAAAAGTGAGGAAAAAATTCGCTTCGAAAGGCTATCACTTGTTCTAGAAGTGAATATATCAATTTCTGACTGAAATTCTTCGAATTTCGCTTAGAATTTGACAGAAAATACCATTTTTCAAAGGCAAATTCTTGATTGATAGGTAAATTCTGTTAAAACCAGTCAGAAAAATCGATAGCATTTTTGTCATCGGAAACCGCCAAATATGGTTTTTTGTCGGAATTTGTTATCGCTGTTACCTTCTGATACCTATTCACGTCCCTTATCGTCTTCTTTTTGCTTCAAATCGTTAATTTTCTTGGATTTCAACGAGAAAATCGTATTTTCAGGCTGTCCAGATGATTCCCCTACCAGAGAATCAATCGCCGCCTTCAAATCTGCCGTCGGCGCTGCTGATCAATTCGTTGGATGCTCCCAATGAGCTATCCGAGGAAGAACAAATTCGTCTTCGCGAAGAAGAGGAGGAAAAGCGTCGGCAAGAAGAAAAAATTGCTGACGAAAATCGTCAAATTCTTCTCCAAGAAGAACAAGAGAAAGAGGAAGCAGAGTTTCTCGCCGAAACTTGTGAAGAAAATTTTGAAGAACAGCGTCAGGTGAGACTCCAGAAAAACAGAGAATTTGAGAAATTGTTTCGTGCGGAATTGAAACAAAGCACAAGCTTAAAAGAAAGCAGTGTTACAAAAATTGTCGACAAAGCTTTTTCGATGATTCTTGAGAAAGATGAAGTCATTGATAGCAAAGATCTCGCTATCACAAAATACAGAAATATGATTCAAAATCTGAACGATCGAGTTTTTCAGTTGACAACAACTATGGAGGACGTCGGAGGATTCTTCACGCCTTTCAACAGCAACTCAGAGGACGGAAGAAGCAACAAAATGGTGAAATTTTTAGAAGAAAATGAACTCGAATCTGTCGAAGAATTGCAAGAAAAACTGACGGAATTGAGCAGACTCAAGAGAGAAAGACAACTTCAACAAAAATATTTTCAGGCAATGCGAGAGCAAGCCAGAAATCAAATTTCCGAAAATCCTGCTCATTCAAGTATGAATTTGGAATTCAAACTGGAATCGGAGCGTCTGAAAAAAGATAAGAAGCGTTTGGAAGAAGAAAATCGACTTCTGAAGCTTCAAATTCCGCTAAATTCACTGTTTCGCATCGAAGAAGCACAACAACGATGTGTTGCAAGTCTGCCGAAGCTTGTGAAGACTCCCGACGTGTCGCCGATGCCAAAAGGACCGTGTGAAGCAAGGAAACCACCGGAAAATATGTCTCGTGAGTGTTTTGTTAAGGAAACTGCGCGCGATGCGATTTATGACGAGACTATGCATGAGAATTTCGCGCAAGACTTTGATTATAATGAGAGTGAGAAATACACGCCGAATCGTTATTATCAAAGTAATTGGGACACCGGCAAAGCATCAGAAACAGCTTTTTTGTCAATGATGCAACAAATGCACATGCAAAATCAGCTTTGTGATCCGCCAAAATACACTGCTGAAGAGAAAACTGCTTCCATGGATGCTTTGTGAAAACGTTTCTAATTAAATATGGCGGTCTGCCTCCAAAACAGCAAGTTGTGCTGCTAGAGTCTAATTTCTTGTCGGGAAAGGCGATGAAAGTATTCAAAGGGCTTCCGGAGTATGCAAAACAGTCTTTTCAAACTGTCATGAGAAGGATGGCTGATAGACTGCGAGTTTCTAGAGAAGATGACTCAAGACGCGCAAAATCTAAATGGGAACAATTGCATAAAAGAGAAGGTCAGTCAATCGAAGACTATTGCCTTGCAATCGATGAGCATTCTAAGCGCGCGTTCGTAAGAATGGAGCCTGAAGAGCTATCGTCGTTGAAATGTCAAAAATTGCTTAATGCAATTTCTGATAATGAAACAATGGCGTGCCTCATTGAATCGAAACTGAATGATACTTCTGAAATTGATCATTATGAAGTTGCCAGAGAAATCGCCATCAGATATGAGCGAAGCGTCAAAGAGAGACAGAAGAATAGAAAGAAAGATGAAGCGAGTGAAAAGAAGGATAATAATTCTTTTGTTCACAATACTCAAAATCAGCAGAATTCTAACAAAAGTTGGTCTCAGAAGCAGAATCAGAATCGTAACCATCAGCAACAGTTCAACTCGCCTAGCAATAGTTACCAGTCGTATTCGTCGAACAATAATTATCAGTTTACTTCGTCACTTCATCAGTCTCCTCCAATAGTACAACCGTCTTCGTTTTCAAATCAGCCTTAGTCGTATACTCAGTCTCCGCCGACTATACAACCGTCTCAGAAGCAAGATGTATCAAATCAGAGTCAGTCTTTCCCAGAAATTCCGGTTAATAATGACTATTCATGCCGAGAATGTAGCGCTATCGGATGTCATGCTCCAACTTGTTCTAAAGCTCCAAGAAATGCTAAATATGTGCCTACATGCAATCGTTGTCGTGAAAAAGGTCACTCAGCGAACTATTGTCCTCAACAGAATGTAGCAATTCCGGTTCCATCTGAAACCAAAGACTCTAATATCGCTATTATCTCCACGTTGGATATCGATTGGAGCCAAACTTCTCTCAATGACATTTCTGCAAACAAATCTTCTGTTCAATACAAACAAGGAAGAATTGCGGGCGTTGATATGGAAATTCTAATAGATAGTGGTGCAAGTATTTAAGTTATGCCTCATTCTTTGTGGAAATCTATTGTCGCAAAGAAAGGAAAAGAGTGGGAGAAGAAAGTTCCCATTGAAATTCCGAACATCCAGAACGCGGTAGCTGCTGATGGTGAGCCCGTAAATCTGTTATTCCAAGTCATTCTTGAAACTTCAATTCGTTCCAAGACTAGGAAAATTCCGATATATGTTGCTGATGTCTCCAGAAATAATGTCATTCTTGGCTCCAATAATTTCCAAACAATGGGAATTCAGTTGTCAGTTGAAATGGAGCATCGGGAAATAAGGACGGTGTATGATGTTCAGCTAGCTCCCAAATCACATCGGAGTGTAGAAGTTCGCGTAGCAGGAATTTTCGATACTGAGAAATTTTGCCTAGTTCATTCAATAATTGATCAACTTGCTCTAACAGTCTGTCAAGTGGACACCAAGGGAAAAACTTTCCTTATGCTTTCTAATCGCGGAAAAGTTGTCGTTTTCCTAGGAAAAGGTCAACTGATTGCTCATGGAGAATTGGATAAAACCGAAGTATTCGAAAATGAATTGTTTTCTGAGGATTCAGCTGAACATTCGTGTCCAGTGTCCGATGAATCTTTGCAAAAGAATAGTGTTACTGATTCTCAGTGCGATGAAAATCAGAGTGATGTAGTGGATTCTTCTACTCCTTTTAACCTTCTAGTTACCAAGGCTCGTGATAAACAAGAGCTGATCGACTCTTCTCGGCTATATGAAGATGATCAAAATGAACATCATGAATTGGAAATTGTCCCCGAATCTCTCAAACCTCCCCCAGAACCGATACTGGAAAAGGGCGGAGATGTCGCCTTGGGCGGTGTTTTCCGAACAAAGCCTACATGCCGCGTGAAAGAAAACAACTCTCTGCGAAAGGGTTTAGGAATACAGTCTCCAGTCTATCAAAGCAATTCAGTTGCTTGCGAAAAAGAGCTCCTGTCTCAAAACTCGCATCATAACAATCTAATTCAGGATCATCCTGCTCATGCGAATGAAACATCACTCAAAGGAACTCGCATTTTTCTGTCACCAGGGAAGGATCCACCACCTAAATCCAACCGTACCATGTCATGTGAGCATCTTCCAAAGGATTCAAAGGAATTTTTCGAGGATTCGTATCTACCGAAGTTTGCACCTTCATTAGAGCCATGGGATCTACCGTATGGACCTGGATCATCGATGATTTTTCATCCAATGCCAAGCACAACTACAGATGCTGATGCAGATATCTCCGGATCCTCTTCACCAAGAGTCAGCTCATATTTCCAACATGGATAATGTTTAATTACTCTTGTTTTCCCATCATTTTATGCTATCCCTCCCTTCTATTATCTTCGCCCCCTATATTTTTCTTTACCCAGTTTCCTACCGCCCCATATCTATTCCTTCTAATATTATTCTTTCCCCTATATCCACCCTCACAGTATCACTCCCATTCTCCCCTATCTGGTGCTAACTTCCATTGGAGGCGGGACTCGAAAAGGGCGCAGATGTCGGATTCTCATCCGGTTCTTCTTCGAATAAGCCTTTAAAGTTTCTAAATATTCGTAAATTGAATATTCCGCCGTAACTAATGGAAATGCGCGCTTTCGCACTGGCGCCAAAATATAGGCAGGAAATCTGTGAATTTGTTTTCTGACCCTGTTTTTTCATCCATTCTTGTTCGGAGAAGGGCACCAGCTTGGTGAATACCCTGCTTAATCTTCGACAGTTTCATTGGCCACCGTTTTGTTACCGAATTTGCCTTCTTTTGGTTACCTTTTCCCCCTGTTTACCGATATCCCGAGCGTTGGCTCATAGTTTCTCTTGTTACCTTGATTTCCCTTGCCTTCTAGTTACCTTTTGCCTCGATTTCCCAGTTTAATAAACCAATTGTGTTTATAAAAAACTGTCTTCTTTGTTGTCTTCTTTCGTCTCACATTCTTCACTGAATTCGCCTTGAATTCAGTGATTTCGTTCCGAGTTTCCGCTTTTCCGAGTTAAAATAATTGGAATATAAAGAAATCTCAAAAATTGAGTCTTGAAAAATTGAATGAAAACCTTCAGAATCAAACGTTTCTGAGAGCTGAAATTGTTTTGTGGATAACATCGATTTGGTTTCTATGGCCTGCAATGTAGTACAATTATATAAGACAGTAGGGGCTGTGAAAAGAACACACCTCCTGGGAAAAAAACAGACCCCATCGCCTCCTGAACGACCAAACGTTTAAATATCCTCTCAAACGCCCAGGCAGATGAGGTGCACGGTTGATGGAGTGGATAGTCTTCCATCTACAAAACATACGGCAATGAGTACGGCTCCCGCCGTGGTAGCGAGTGAAAGCACCGTTCCAGGCTGTTCGGCTCTTTCACTCCCCTGCACTTGCTGGTCTACTTACTTTTTACAGTTTCTATTTGAAATGTTCTTGTATTTCGATTTACAACGATCTATGAAAAAATCATAGCACAAATGGGAATTGAAAGAAAACATGATTTCATAAATCTTCTCCTACTTGATACTCTTACGAAACTTTTAAAACTATTTTTTTTACTTTCACGTAAGTAACTCAACATTCCTATAGTCTTGTGTAGCATGTGGTCATAGCTTACCGAACGCTTCCTGTCCATTGATTTCTCTAATAGGTAGCCTATAGAGTTGAAAATCAGAACTTTCAAAAAATATGCTCAAACATAGTAAGAATATTTTCAAAACGTGTTTTTTTTTCTCAAAAATTACTTACATTTTATCTCTTTTTGGAAAAGCGCATCTGATCAAATTGAAAATTATGGGTACGTTTTTTTCTAAATTGTTTTCTGTGAGAATGAATACAAAAAACTTATTCTTCAAGGTACGAAGAAGACGGGCAAATGTTCATTTTGAAACTTGCAGGGTGATAGCTGGTAGACATGTATTCAAACCTGATCTACTTCAAATTCCTAAAAGCCGCTTTGTTTTGAGACTTTGAGGTCAAATATCTGAATTTCTTCAAAAGTTATCAAAAACATGTAAACTGAAAATGTGCTCGTGATACTACGATAAAGATTATATCAGTTGATATGTTTTTCATATCTTTTACAGAAACTGAGTCAGTTAAGCTCAAAGTTCATGTACTGTGGTAGCTGCTCGGTTTTTGAGAAAAACTCATATCATAAATCAGTTAGATTGTTCCGTTTTTTCAAAAAAAAACGTATCAATATTCTAGTTCAGCTAATCACTCAACATAATTACCGTATTTCCTCCAATAGATAGCCCACGGGCTTCTATTTCTCAATCTCATTCTGAGGGTGGACTAATATTAGAGGTGGGCTTCTATATTTTTCAATGATTTATTTTTTTAAAAATTCATTCAAAATTTCAGAATTTTGACAATTATGAAGGTGAAAATTCTGAAATTCAATATTTTGGAAAATTAGAAATTTTTATTCTGCAATTCTTAATTTTAAAATTCCGATTTTCTAAAAAATCTGAAATATTGAAATTCAGAAATTAGAAAATTCAGAAAATAAAAAAAATTGTCGATTGCTAAAATCACAGTTTCAAATAAAAGCCCATTGGCTTCTATTAGAGAGCCGGCTTTTATTTTTCAAAGCACCTCGCGGTGTCTATTAGAAATGTGCTCAAATAGAGGTGAGCTTTTATCAGAGAAAATACGGTAATTACAGTTCCAAAGGCTTTATATCAAGGAAAAAAAAATGAAAAAATGTTTTTTAGATTCCAACTAAAGTTAGGCGCTAGACTCAGAAAATAGATGACGAATATCTTAGTATGGGTGAAAAAAAGTGATGTGGACATAGAAAAGTCTGAGTCTGAAAGGCTGATTCGGGAACGAACGAATGTGTTCTAAGAAAATATGTTTCGCTTTTTTTTTAATTCCTTTTCGAGAGCTTTTCTGAATTGAGAATTTCGGAAATTCCCATTAAAAATCTTTTAAAAAGTTAGTTTATGGTTTCTTTCATTTCCATTTCTAATTTATTAATCCAAAAATTATTTTCAATCTAGTATTCCAATTTTCAACTTAAATATAAGATTTTGCAGGTGCGTTTTTTGAGTCTCTAAAAGTTATATTTCTTTTCTGATATTATTAAAAAAGCTGCAAATTTGATCACAGATTCCATTTGTGGGAGTGAGAATGTTTCGATTTTTGACTGATGTTTGTGCTGGAAAAACTTTATAGCAGAATGTGTCTGGCCTTTCTTACATTTGCATTTCTAAAATGAAAAAGTTTTTTTGCTTTTATTAGGTTGCCGGACCCTCAAAATAAGGAATTTATCCTTTTATTTTTTGCTTTGCACATCCCTTGATCTTTTTTCGTTTTTTTTTCATCCATCGAAACTCCTCAAAAATTTTCTTGAAGTTGTTGATTTGCCGAAGATCTATTGCTTTCATCATCCCTATCCGTCTCATATAACTTATCTCTTTCATATCCCTTTTTATCACTTCCTTTGACTGTTTCTCCGTCCCGAGCGGGGCTCATCACACCGCGTTTCGTTTGCGTGAGCCTTTGGCCTATCGGACAATCGAAAGAGATAGAGGGTAAACTGTGTAAAGCATGTTCGGCAAAGAAAGATGGATGCCGACGCGAGAGTAGGAACAGATGGCATTTGACGACAATGAAATAGCAGATGGCACGATGAGAGTCTTTTGAACCTCGTCCTTCATCCGGCTACCACTTTCTTCTCAGTTTCACAACACGTTTTTCTGCTCCGAGAAAACTTTCCGGATGAAAAAAAACAGAAGAAAACGAAAAATAAGCTGTTGTGTAATATCGTGTGTATGTGCCACCGAGCATTTTGTGTCAAGAGTTGAGTAAAAACAAAAAGTGAAAGGAGAGAATGAATTACCCACTGGCGTGTGTCAATTGTCACTGGTCAAAGAACTAATACAACAGGAAATGAAACCTGTAAACAAGTTGGGAACGTTGGTTACTGAGAAAACAACAGGAAACTGATGGATTGGTCCACAGCTTCTGGACCACGATTACGCGAAAAAAAAATCTGCAAAAAATCGTCCGGGTTTCGAAAAGCAATGAATTGAAAATGAATGCCTGGGAAGCAAAATTACCGTAACACTCTGATTGAACGACATCTCTGATTTTTAACTTTTAGCCACTTTATCTCGTTTTCTGTGAAAGATATGAAAGTTGTATCAACTGATAAATTATTTATCATAAAGTCACTAATATTTTGTCAATTGACAAATTTTGATATCTTGCACACAAATTAAGATAACTGAATTCAAAGATGCCTGCGTGGGCGAGCTTCTATTACAGATAATACGGTATTAGAAAAACAAAGAATTACATATCTGGCTTTTGGAGTTTTTGTATGGTTTTACACAGGTTGCGTTTAAAAGAGATTCATTGTGCATGATAAAGTTTTTAATGATTAGGAACTAAATTACGAGAAATTTGATTGTTTCTGTTTTTCGGGAAACAAGGATTACTCTACCTCTGTTTATTGATATTCTTGTCTTTCATTTGCTTTGGCTTTGAATTTTTCTAAGTTGGCTTCTCACTCTACTAGTCTTTGCATTCTAACTAATCAAAGTTTTGTTGCCACCACCTAACGAAGCCATTCGATTTACTAAAATTTATATTTTGGATAGCAGCTCAAAATCTTGGATTTAGATTTCCAAAAGCTTCTTCTCAGTGCTGTATAGAAGATAATCCCCACCCTATTCTACATATATTGATAGGCAGCACCACTTCGTGCCATTAGTTGTCACGACAACAGACAGCTAAATTCTATTCAGAAAATTTATGAATAGATGTATTATGCCTCCTGTGAAATTAGATTAATTTTATTTTTCGACTAGTCAGACGGACGCCTCAAAATATTTTCTGATTTTTTGAACATTTTCTCATGAATCTGTATTTTCCGATAATACGAATAACAAAACATGTGTCATGGACAGCGTTTGTTATTTCTTATAAAACAATCGTCATTTGACAAAGCTATTTGTGTTTATCCTTTGGCACATTAGGATACCGTACACTTTTCATAATTCTCATCCACAAATATCGCGTCTTTTATCTCCCTCTTGCCACATTGGTTCAAGTAGATTCTCGGATCCGATATCCCATTCTTAGCCCCACACCTCTGCCCACGCGTCGAGGGCCGCGCAGAAACTCAAACCGTTTCCTGGCTCCTCTCCCATTCTTGTATCCCTTCCTTCCATTGTCTTTTTCGTTTCTTTTTTCTCGATTCAGTAAGTTCATTTGCCGAGTATTTATGAATGGGAAAAAAGAAGAAGGACGAACAAGAAGAAGACGGGCGCTGCGGACACACGATGGCAAGGGACCCCGTTGCTCTTTTCTCAATTCTCGAGACACTGAGCAAGACGTGGAGTCGTAGATCCGACTGGCAAACAACTTTCTATCTTCTCCCCCCAATGTGTTTTGTGTGTGCGTATGTGGCAGTTGGCAAGAAGGCAAAACCAAAAAACTATGCGCGCGGCGCCATGGGCAGCCGCACCGAGAGACCCCAGGGTTTCGAGAGAGGGAAGTGCGTTTGGGAAACCGTATGAAAGAAAAGAGGGTGAGAAATTGAGCAGTCAGTTACAAAAATGTTTGTATGTTCTTCTCTTGTATACCTCCTCCGAATGATGGTCAATGTTAAAGCAGTGGCAACGGAAAGTATTTGAGGTCACGTACACATAACGTGTGGAGTACTGTCATTCAAAAGAGCAGAACTTGTAACATAATCTGTTAGGAGCAGAAAGGACAGAAAGGGCAAGCACAGTTGCTCATTGATCAAGAACTGTCAACTGTCGATCGACCCCTTCGGAATATCTGTTCTTGGTACAATCCTAACGTGAATCACTAGCCAGCACAGTTTCACAGCTGCAACTACCTTCTAAAAATTGCATCACTTTCAGTAACCAATTTTTTTTTTGAAATACAAAATTATGAATCATATTGCATGAAACAAATCTAATAGCTTTTTCCCGGTTTAACAAAAACAACTGTCACGTCATTCCATTCCATTCCCTCCTTCTCCGATTCTGTTTTGTTTCAAAATTACACGCTGCAAATCAGGGGTCAAGTTACTAGAGGGGTTGGCATGATGCAAACCGAAAAATCAGATCCTTGACATTTGGAGAAGTAGAAGAAAAGGAAGAAGAAGAAACATCTGAAAATGTTATTCAAACTATAAACCGTCGGCCTTATCAGCGCCTTGGAATTTCAAGTATAGATACAATGTGAAAAAATTCAAATGTCTTAAGAATTGATGACCTTCTTCCACAACGATCGATCTTTTGATCCTCTACAGTAACCAATGAGACATAGTGCAACATGCAAATTAGTGCCAATCGGTCAGTGTCATTCAGTGCCACTTGCGGAAGAAACTTTGATGTTTTGAATAATCGTCCTATTCTCTTTTGCAGTTTTAGTTCTCCCAAGTGAATAAATTTCGCGGCTAGGACACTTGGCCCGCGCCGGAAAACAATGATACATTCATTGTGTACGTGTGTTCCCTCGCATCTCCAAATAGCAGAAAAATGACTGGTCGCTCTCTGTATCAAACGCGCGGTGATGGTGGTGGTGTTGATAACACAATTGATACATTGAGAAACTGGGAAACGTGAGGTTCGCAAAACGAAGAAAAAAAAGCTAAAGTTGGGTCACGGAGATACACTCGTTGATCTTTCGAAGTGTGAAAGATTTTCAAAAAAATTTTTCCTGGAAACGATCACCCAAACCAACAAATCAAACATTCTTCTTGCTGGAGTTTTTGCTCATGAATAATTCAATTTCTCAAGACTCAGAAATAAGAAAAAAATATGCTAACAGAAACTGGAGCTCATCAGACTAGAAAGAAGAGAGCCAATTAGGAAAAGTGCCAAAATTTCACTAATTGCGTTTCCGACTGAGGATTAGTTCAGGTATCAAAAGATGGCGGGTAGGGCAAAGAGCAGCACGTAGACCAAATGTAAACATGAATTCCGTCCTAGACCTATGCAACTGTACACATCCGAAATTTGTATTTGTCTTCTGTTCATGCTCCTCGGGACGTCATCAGAGCCTCGGCTCCAAAATATGTATCAGTCTTCAAATCCAAACTTTCAAATCCTCACAAGTTAGTCGGATTTCAGGTCTACGATTCATTCCTCTTGCAGTAATCCTTCCAAAACCAACCCGTAAACAATTTTTGTGGAGATTTTTGGAGGTGTCGAGTCTATTTTCAATTACCAAATCTTCTCTAAACCCTCCTCACTTTTGCATGCTATTTCTCTCTGCACAGTTTTATTTCCGAACGTCGACTCATAATCGGTTCAGTTGGGGAGGAAGGGGCGTTGGGGTCTGTTTTCCGTCTCATCGTCGCGCCCACTCCGCGTTTTGCATGCTCTTCGTGCGCCCACTCGCTGCGTCTATTATCAAAAAATATCCGTCGTTGTTTAGGGGCGGAGCGATAGCAAGATGCTGCGAGAGGCCTACTCGACCTCACTTCACTGTGTCCAAGCGCAAGAAGGAATGTCGGTTTCCCCAGACGTGATCGCCAAAATCGAGGAGGGCTATGCCAAGCTCCAGGTATGTTTTGGACCTTACTCATAGGACCTACACCACTATCAATTCTTCCAAACAACAGTATCTTACAGGCTGCCCCAGAGTGCCACTCTCTTCTCAAGAAGTACCTCACCAAGGAGGTCGTTGACCAACTCAAGGACAAGAAGACCAAGCTCGGAGCCACTCTTCTCGATGTGATCCAATCTGGAGTCGCCAACTTGGACTCGGGAGTCGGAGTCTACGCCCCAGACGCTGAGGCTTACACTCTCTTCAAGCCACTCTTCGACCCACTGATCCAGGTATGTTGGGAGGGGTTGAGAAAAGGGTAACTTATCGATAAGCAGCATAAACGCGCTAACTCTCTGCTTTATGTTTCTCTTTTTCTTTTTCCGTGGTGAGTTGATGCAAATGCCCGGCGCGTCAGCATGCACAAAAATGTTGTTGTAGTACAAGGAAATGGAAGCGAAATAGGGAGAAAAGGCGCGATTTCAAATGGGATTACTAGCGCATTGGGTGGGCAACAGTAGAAACGAAATGGCCTCAAAGTTGTTGGCCTAACCAACTATGTTTGTCTCCCGTGTCCCTCTAGCAATTATTATGAAAATGGCCACCTGGCGCTCGGCAAATGTATAATCGGCGTCGCGCCATTGAGGCAAGGATTTATAATAGTGGCCAATGATTTTCAGGATTACCACAACGGATTCGCCCCAGATGCCAAGCAGCCAAACACCGATCTCGGAGAGGGAAAGACTGCTGGACTTCCAGATCTTGATCCAGAAGGAAAGTACATCAACTCCACCAGAATCCGTTGCGGACGTTCTCTCCAGGGATACCCATTCAACCCATGTCTCACCGAGGCCAACTACCTCGAGATGGAGTCTAGGTCAAGGGAATCTTCGACAACATCACCGACCCAGAGCTCGCTGGAAAGTACTTCCCACTCGATGGAATGACCAAGGAAGTCCAAGACCAACTCATCAAGGACCACTTCCTCTTCAAGGAGGGAGACAGGTAAGGAGTATTACAGATTTCCGGAGAATTCCATCTCATCCCATCATTTTTCAGATTCCTCCAAGCCGCCAACGCTTGCCGCTATTGGCCAAAGGGACGTGGAATCTTCCACAACAACCAGAAGACTTTCCTCATCTGGTGCAACGAGGAGGACCATCTCCGTATCATCTCCATGCAAGAGGGAGGAAACGTTGGACAAGTCCTTGAGCGTCTCATCAAGGGAGTCAAGACCATCGAGAAGCAGGCTCCATTCTCCCGCGACGACCGTCTCGGATGGCTCACCTTCTGCCCATCCAACTTGGGAACCACCGTCCGCGCTTCCGTCCACATCCGTCTTCCAAAGATCTCGGCCAAGCCAGACTTCAAGTCGATCTGCGATGGACTCAAGCTCCAAATTCGTGGAATTCACGGAGAGCACTCCGAATCCGAGGGAGGAGTCTACGACATCTCCAACAAGGCTCGTCTTGGACTCACCGAGTTCGAGGCCGTCAAGCAAATGTACGACGGAATTGCCCACCTCATCGCCCTTGAGAAGGCCGCTTAAATTCCTTCATGGACACACTCAATTTGAAACTGGCTGCTGGCTGCTACACAAATTTCTCTCTAATTTTCATCTCATTTTGTAAACTTTAACTTTCCTTTCCTACTTGGCTAGTGTTAAATGTTGTATTTCGTTTACTCGAATACTTATTTTTCTGCTTCAATAAAGTAAAGTGCACCGGAAAAAATAGCCTATTTTGACGAGAAGATGGAGATGGAGTTGGTAGATTTCAAGAAAGCTCTCGAAAGTTTTGATGACATCACGTCTCCGTTTCGGCAGAGAAGTGTCGCTCGCCGGATAGTTTGAAATGGCCTGCTGTGTAGTAGAATGCCGTCCTTGAACTGACACTGAAAACAACTTCTTTCGTGTTCCGAAGAGAAAAGGATTGTTTATCCCTCGCAAAAAGTTGTGAAATCGGTTGTTGTACAAGATGACTGGGTAGTGTACTCTGTAATAAACAACCGGTTGTTGAGACCTTTTGAACAACGGTCAATTTTGAACAGATTATGAAAGAACGAGAAGAAAAAGATTGCGACTAGAAAAAGGAGAGATGCGAGAAATGGAATCGTCAATATTTCAAATTAAATAGTTTTCCCAGAAATAAATGATTCAAAAAAAAAATAACCACACTTTCAACTCATATTAGGTTGGCGGGAAAGTCTTTGTCACTTTTTCAATAGTTTATTTCTCAAAGAAAAAATAACCGAATAATTAATTATATTGTCCATCATTATCAACAACATGTCTCCAACGTTCCCTCAATTTATGGATTCCATTGCGGTAGAATCCAGCCGGGCGTGAGGCAAAGTATTGTTTGAGTGCCGCTTCGACCGCTCCACGGGAATTGAAGCTTCTTCCTTCGAAGGCACGTGTCATATCGCCAAATAACCAATAGTCGGAAGGAGCAAGATCAGGAGAATACGGGGGGTGAGGGAGAACATTCCATCCATATCCCATCAGCTCCTGCTTCACTTGTTTCGAAACATGTGGGCGAGCGTTATCATGTTGATAGTACACTTTCTTGTCTTTCAGGGCCGAACGGTCGACTGCTTTCTTGAGGTTTCGTAGTTGAGTAGTGTAGAGGTCTCCAGTTATTGTTTTGCCCTCGGGCAGAAGTTCCCAGTAGATGGGGCCGTCCACTCCCCACCACACAGAGAGCATAACTTTTTTCGGATGAAGGCCGGGTTTGGGGACATCCTGTGGGCTCTCTCCTTCTCCAACCCACTGGGATTTCCTGTGGTGATTATCGTAGAAGACCCACTTCTCATCTCCGGTTATTAGCCGGTCCAGCCATCGATCGCCCGCGTGGAGAGTGAGAAGAGTAATCGAATCGTCGACTCGGCGGTCAAGGTTGGCTTGAGTCAGGTGATGAGGTATGAATCGACCAAAAAGTTTTCTCATTCCAAGAGACTTCAAACCTTCAAGGACTGTGCTATGGTGAACTCCGAATGTGACAGCTAGTTCACGGCTAGATTGAAATGGATCCGATTGCAATGCGTGCTTCAGCTTGTCCAAATCCAACTCACGGGGTCTCCCAGAGCGATCCTTTTCATCGAGCGAGAAGTCATCTTTTTCGAAACGATGGAACCAATTGCGAATAGTATTGTAGTGAGGGGCATGTGTGTTGTACACATTCTTCAAGAAAGTTTCCGAATCCTTCATCGTGGTGTGAGATAGGAAGAGGTAAATCAAAACATGTCTGATGTGAATAGCAGTGGGAACAAACATATCGTTTCAATTACAGATGAGGAGCAGGGAAGGAAATGGGGACTTGTTTATATGGAAGGTTCTTATCACCTTGTTATTCACTAGAGTCGATATCATACACAGCCTCCATATACGAGAACAGTGATTAAACAAACAGAGTGACAAAGACTTTCCCGCCAACCTAATACTTCAAGCTCATTTATCGTGCTTTCAAAAGAAGATGCCTAAAATCTGAGAACTTCAAAATTTTTTCTCAAATATAGAATGACACCGTTTACTTTCAAACTTTGAGAGAACTTATCTTGGAACCTGTAAAAGGTACCAAAAAGTAGTTAACTGACAAAGTATTTTTGATATCATAATAAACTCTTTGTCTGTTAACCACTTTTCAATATCTTTCACAAGAAATCAGATATACGGACTCAACGTTTAAGGTTTGTGCGTGATTTTATTTAAGTGTTTACGGTAAGCTGAAAGTTCACATGCAATTCCTACCAAAAACAAATACCTGATATTTTTATTTCGAACGACGAATTTTTTTGAGAAGGTGTAATTATAATATATTCAACGACTGTAAGAATCACAGAAATTTGCGCAATCGATGTTTTCAGCCAAAATTTCAAAATAATTAGGTAAAAAATTTTCGATTTTCTTTCGTTTAGATAGTAATACAAACCTTGAAACATTTGCATCATAAAACCTATAACAGGAGGACCCCACACTGCCAAGTTTGAACAAATTTTTTTGCTCTGTGCACGCCAACAAAAAGTGCTAACTGATGGAATGTTTTTGATATAATGATAAAAAATTTATTAGTTGACAACTTCCCCATATTTTTGACAGATATCGAGATCAATTGGCTTGAAGTTGAAAGTTGAAAGGCCCGAGAAGTACAGGTTTTACAGGTCAATCAGTTTAAATGGAGAACAATTTCAAAAAATTTCAGAAACTTGTTGATTAAGAAAAAAATTGTGAACTTAGCAAAAATAACTGGCTCTTTATGACAAGGGGGGCCTATGAGATCTATGAAAATTTCTATAAAAATTTCGTAATTTGCGCTTGTTTCCACAAAAATTCATCACTTTAAAAAAGTTCACTTGAGACCGGTTTTTTGCATGAAAAACACTATTTTTCCATTGTAACTGTGTGATTTAAATTTTTTCAGCAAAGTCTTTTCTCTCATGGCCATCCTTGTCATAAAAAGCCAAATAACTTTCCCATGTTGAACATTTTTAGGTCAGATTTCCAGTTTCTGGAGTTTGTGGTCTGGATATGGTCGATAAGTTATCAATTTTGAACTCTGATCAGTGATTCTCCAACACTGTACTCTTTTCATATATTACTGAAATGTTGTACATCAAAGTACAAACTTTCTTGAGCAGTAATAGAGAGAAACCATTGCAGTAATTGCTATTTTTCATATTTTCTACGAACTTCCGCCATCCATTATTTCTTCTTGTTCTTTCCATCTTTTTTGTTCTTCACATTCACCTGGAAAACTGAGGTGTGAAACCCCATAAAATATCCTCATTCCATTTCTCGCTAAAAATATATGAAATTCGCTCATTGCAGTGCGTCATTCGATGGTATAATGTAATGCGAATTTCCGGGTTTTCACACTGATTTTCAGTTTTTGATTTCCCACCGCGCGCATTTGTGTGGGGCCAGTCGGTGGAGAGACATGGCGAGAAACCAAAAAGTTTTGTTTTTTTTTTCCAAATCACAGTTTTGCTGATACAAAAATAACTGTCATGACGAATCTGAATGAGAATGTAAAGAACAAAACTTCGGTTGAGACCTGTACTGATTTGATACCAAAATCGAGAGAACTAATTATAGAGACAGAAAGCAAAATATTGAAAAGGGAAGGATGGGAACGAATTGATGTTTGTGTTCAGAGTTCAATGTTCAAAAAAACCAAATTTGCGATGAAAAATCAAAAATGTTGTTATTTCGAATAACAGTGCTACTAGGAAAATTGAACGAATGTTTGGAATTGTTTCTAGAAAAACGTTTAATGACATTAGATTCTAGTATAGGGTTATTCTGAAAAAGTTTGAATTTTTAGAATGTATAAAATTAATTTCAATTTTTAAAGAAAAATTTTTCGAAAAATATCATGTATAGGGGTACACGAATTGTAACTTTTTTTGAAAAAAATTGAAATAAGTCTCGTAACTCAAGGGCTCGACCTATATTTGAACACGTATATGTACGTTACTTGCACTGAGGAATCAGATAGGCATAGTCCCCCGAGCACTTTTTTTTTCAAAAATTGGCATTTTTCGAATTCGGTGGGACTCGAAATTTTCATATTTTCTGTTTTCCTGAAATTCCTTTTGAAGATAGAGCATGGGTGCAATTGACATTAATGTTTGTTAGTTTATCACCTGTGGAATAAAATTTGAATGTCTACCACAAAAATGAACAAAGTTATGGTCGTTCGAAGGGTGCCGACTCCAAACTCGTGAAAAATCATAAAATGTTTCGCGATTTCAACAGACCTTCATAGCGGCTATATATTTGTGGTTGTTCTAGATAGCCGGTGTACTATTATTTGGCATAGGTTTCGTCAGAATCCCCGGGTAACATATGGAGAGCTTCCCTTGTAAGGGTGGTTTTGGAGAAGTTCAGAAACATTTTCATAAACTTCATACCAGCATCACCAGTTGACACAGACACTTACACTGTAGTTTGTGTTAATCTTTCAGTTTCACCTTGTGTAGATATCCTATGATTTTTACTTTCATATGGTACACTACCTTAAATTTCCGTAAACGCGCTAAAAGAATGCTTTTAAACCGGCATGTTTGAGCACATATAACTTATCTGTTTATGAAAATATCGAAAAAATATCGATTGTGTTCAAATAGTCAACTAATGCATTTTCTGATATCTTTTTCAGTAACTGAGATAAGTTAGCAGCTAAAACATGGAAAAATTGATGGAGTCGTCTTATTACAGTAGTCAAGGCTTTAAATAAAATACTATTTCTATTTTTGCGCTTTGATTTTCCGACCGCAGTTCGATTACTAGAATTGCTAAGTAAATCTAATTGAAATACCACTTCAAAGATCAAACTTTTGTTTCAAACGGCAGAAAATGAAAAAAAATCATTTGAGAACCGGTAAATATTTACAAACTATCAATGCGATATCCCACCAAAACGTCAACTTTCATTTGGTTCGAGAGCAATTGGAACTTTTATAAACGAGAGATTAAAGCACATTTCGTCATGAGCTCCCGGTTCTATTTGCACACTGTTCTCTTTTAGTTTAGGGCAAAAGTTTCATTTTTGATTTTGAAAATCTGAACTTTCCAATGTTAGTGTAACTAAAAAAAAACTAAAACGATTCAAAATACTTTTATTAAAAATATTAGCAAGAAAAAAATACAGAACGAAAATGATTAAAGGTGAATATTGGCATAGAAACAGTGAGTGGAGGTGATTGTGTGGGGAAGTCTTGAGATTCGGTAGTTTGAAACTTAGGTGCAATAGCAACTCGATGAAATCATAAGTGGTTCAGCTCATTATTGTTATAATCACCAATTGGAATATTTCTGAATAGACCAATTAAAAATGCTGCTCGAAAGTTGTTAACCGTAGTAGAAAAAAGTATAGGCTGGGGGTGGTCACGTACAGGATTATAGATAGTTTTTTGATTCATAGCTATGTTTTGGCAGAAAGCATTCTGATAAGTTTACATAAGACATAAGTGACAAGGGAATCCGTGGTAACGGTGTCCGGCACCACCACACCCTTAACAGAGAGAAATGCTGAGGTATTGGGATCTGAGATTAGAGACAAGAAAAAATACAAAAAGAATATGGATTATGATTTTGAAAAAGGTGACTAGATGACAATGGGGGGTTTTCTGACACATCGGGAAACAATGACTGAGATTTGGATGAAGTGAGCGATTAGACTTTTTGGGGAGAAAGAGAGACAAGCAACAACAGGGAGAGGAATTAAAATAAATGATGGGAAAGGAACAAGAATAGTGGCTTAGAAATAGAAAAAAACACAAGTTGAGCAACGTTCAGGTACGCTTGAAAAGATGATTATTTGGATGAAGATATTTGATATCTAGTCAACAACAAACAAGAAAAAGGAAGAGAAGGATCGATGCCTCAAATTGGTGACCGCGATCTGTCTCTTGAAACGGATTGAGGTGATGAATCGCGGCGAGATATTCTTCTTGGTGACCATGATCGATCCATTCGCTCTTTCAGTTCGTTGAAGTGGCGTGCCGAATCTTCACGTAGCCGATTAACGCTGCTCGTCATTCCTGATTGAAGTTGAACAAGGGTGTAGATTGAGTTTAAGGCAGTTTCCAGACTCTTCTCGAGGTTACCAACGCGGGTGTCGATGAAAGTGAGAGCCTGAAAATAATTGGAGTAGAAAAAATATTCGGTAGAAGTCATCAGCCCAGATAGTTGTAACACCTACATCTTCAACTTTTGGTGCTGCTGCCTGAGCTGCTTTCAGATCGGCAATTGCAAGTGCAATGGTGTGAAGTTCACTTTCGACATCAATATCCCCCATACCATTCAATTTCTTCTCCGGAACAATGTCAACGGTAGCGGCCGGTGGTGGGAATCCGTGGCTCAGAGTCATGTGGATTGGAAGATGAGAGCCTGAAAAAAGTTGAAGTGAAAAACAGTTGGTGATTTTGATTTTTATCGTTTTTCTATATTATATTTTCTCAAAACGTCATGGCCTGGCCCACCAACTGTTTTCTATATGAACCATCGTACTCATCAAACTACTCATCTCATTTCATTTTTTCAACCGTCCTCGTTTCGCCTCATCTCATCACCATTCAGTGTGGAAAATGGAGGCGCAAAAGCAGTAATGTGTTTTGCCGAGCCCGGACACAACTGTCAGTGCACATTCGACAGATATCAACTGTCGTCCAGCGCCCATCCTCGCCCACAATCCCCCCCCCCCACACATACTACTATCTATTTACGTGCCATATGTTGTTCGACTCGATGGGTACCGGACCCATTCGATTCTGTACACTGTCGGCATTTCACACGATGCCTGTCGAATGGGATACGAGGATTACACTGTACACAAAACTGACAGCGCGATTTGAGAACTGCGAAACTTCGGTTAGATCAGATCGATGATCAGCAAGAGTTTCAGTTTGAAAATGCTCCCACATTCCTATTTTGGCAATGCTATGAAAAAAATCCTAGTCCAACCACCCTGTAATCATATTGCTTGTGCATTTTGTAACGAGTTTGTGTCAGTCAGTGTATGTGTGGGTGTCTATGTTTGTGTGCCGGTTTTTCTGTGCCGGTCCCTGGCGGCTTCAAGCGCACTTGCCTCGATCCTGAAGAGACGTGAGCAATGGCAGCCCCCCTCTAGAAAAGCTCTCCTATTACAAGATATGGTCTGTGTGGATTAAAACGGACAGACGTCGGTCGTCGTCGTCCTGCGCTCGCTCAACCGCCTGGTAATAGTACTCCCATGGGGTGTTTCAGAAAAGAGAACATGCAATGTATGGAGAAAAAGAAAAAGGAGAAGCCTTCTGTCTGTTTGTATGCCCACATTCAGTGTTTGACTGGCAACCGGGCGAGGACGCCAATGTAGATGACATTGTAGATGAGTTTGTGCGCAACGGCGCCTACCAGAATTCGTCCCCCTTTTCTTCTTTCGTATTTCGAGTTGGAAGATATTTGTTTGCGCTCTCATATGACCGAAAATGGTATATGCCAATGTGGAATTGCAATTTTGAAACCAGAGCTACCAAATATTACAATACATGAGTGATGGACAACATTGGAAAAGAGTGAGGAGAGAGAAAAGGATAGGGATGAGAACTGAATGATCAAGAAGTAGATGGACAAGTAGAAGCTAACTAGGAAATTTTATATCAGACACCAAGATATTTGAAACTCACTCTTTCTAATAATCTTTCCACATTCCTTGCAAGTTAGAAACTTTGTTGGCGATGGACACGACTCATTACTCGACGTGCTCTCATCACTTTCGGGAGACACTTCCCGACTAGGACTACCACCTCTCATACTAAGTGTGGAATCCGGAGAAGAGGCACGTCGCTGTTGAAGCTGCTGTTGCTGCTGAATTGACGCATTCGCCGCAGCAAAAATCATTGCCAAAGTTTCGGAACCGCCAACCTAGAGCAAAAAATAAGAAAAAAGTGATGGGTACAGTATGAATACCGTTGGCATATTCGGCAATGGTGGGCTGTCTGGCTCATCGTCGGAATTTTCGGAGCGGACTGGAAATAAATGGGGTACTGTATTTTTTTGCAAAGTGATTCAAATGTGCTCTCAAGATCCCTCTTTCTCTCACTCTCTCACCACACTTTCTTATTCTCCTCAGATACTGTTTACGATGTTTTCTAAGACAGCTGCTGCTCTCTAACTGTATTTCTTATTTTCGTAAGAGTACACTCTTCGAACAGATGCCCACTTCGAAGATTACTATTCGCGCGGGACCATATATCATCTACATTACGCTCTTAGAAGGATCAAAGACTGTTCATTAGAATATATTAAATTGTATCCCGCCCTGAGAAATCCTACGGTTTTGGTTCTTGACACTTTTCCGACACCAAATACACATTCACAGGACAAAATAAATCGTTTGCTCTTTCTGACCATGATAGCCACCTGTCTGCCAACCTAAATGACTTGCTGTCCTTCCGGAGTAAGGTTGAGAATAGAAAATTGGAGGAAAAGCCTTATGCCATTTGGTTTTGTGCCGGTTGAGTTGAGCGTATTGTGCTTTCGACAAGCAATTTTGTGCTCAACAAAAGAAGTTGACGTCCTCTTTGACTGTTCTGTCCGTTCTTCGAAAAGAATAAAGACGTCGTTCCACATCATTTCTAGATAAATTTGTAGACACACAGGGAACACGGGGAAAAACGAAGCACAAAGAATTCCATCTTGTCCCTTTCCTTCCGTTGTTTTTTCATTTTCAATCTGGAGAATGGTGGAGAAGGTCTCTTTGGTGCTTGAAAATAAGAAACAGCCACAAACCGGCAATTGGTTAGGACAGAGTTTTTTTTCTTTTCTGTGTATGAAGACTTCGTTCTTTCCATCTCCATCTCTCACACTCCCTATTTTCCTGTGCGCAAACAGTAGTTGTGGTGGTCCCCGCCGTCCGTCTTTTTTTGTGCCTCAGAAAGCCTCCGCAATTTTGCTTGTGCTTCTGTCGGTTTGGACCTCGTTGCCTTTCTCATTCCCTTGCCGGAGGGGACGACGACAGAAGCGACGGACATTGAAAATCGATGCGTCTAGCACACGCATGAGCACACAGATGGAGTTGCACGATAGAAACGATGATGATGGACCGGGACCCTCCTTTCACTTGAGACGAGCAGTCCTGTGTTTTCGAACCTTACCCTGGATAGATATATAGACACGACACTCACATACACACACCGATGAAAAAGAAGAAGTTTCGTTTCGTCCAGTTTTCTTGACACACGCACCCGTCTGTCACAGCTCACCCACACTATCTATTCTGTATATAGGAATGAAAAGATTGAAGGAAATGGGAGTGAGTAAGAAAAACGAGGAGTTCTGATAGAATTACTCAAAATTGACAGCTACACGACATCTATGTCTCCTGTCCATTTTTCATCTCCGTTCACTGTCATTTCAAATGCTAGTGGTCCTTCCTACATGAGGTATCTCTTCTCTTTCTCACTCTGCTAGGTCTCATATAACAAACGGAAAGGAAAGCGATTTGTCACTGTACAGGTCCTCAAGGGCCACAGTAAACGACCCCGTACTTTCGGATTGGGATCACTTTACAACATAGATATCCCCAATGCACTGTCATCCTCTCCAAACTGCGTCTCACAAAGCGAACACCACATGTCAGCTGTCGCATATAAAAGTTTATGCGAACGACGAGGTCCGATATCGAAGATATTGGAAAAAAACAATAGGATTTGCTTCCCATCCCCTAAACTCCTACAGTATAAAGCATCAAGATTAAGAGAGAGAGAGAGAGAGAAGGAGAATTGAATGAGAATGTAGAAGAGGATGAATAGGAGAGAGAGAGAAATGATGAGAAAGAGAGTGCGAGAATGATTCGAGCCGGATATACACATTACAGCAGAAATCGAAAATCAGGACTTACTGGAATCTGGAGAGGCAGCGAGTTCCTTCTTGATCGTTTTTGCTGGCTTCATGGATTCCGGGATTTTCATGCTAGTAGCGAAATCCAATCCAAGACTGATAAGAATATTTCTGAAACTTTAGAAGATTACAGGTTAACCATATTCTCGGTTGATTTGTGTGCTTCTTACCTCTCGAAGTCCGTCGTAAGATCTTTTGGAAGGAAACTGCTCTCCTCTGGTTGGGCTTCCACAATCATGACTGGTGTTGGGATATTAGGGACAACGCTTGTATCCCTTTGTTGTGCCCTAGACTTTGTTGGAGATGATGGGACAACTTTGGCAGCGAATGTTGTTGATTTTGTCGGCACTGCCATGGATACATAGTCTGGGTCTTCAATTTCAGTCTTGATGGTTGTCAAATTGTTGTTGATCGTGTTATGATTGTTGTTATTGTTGTGACCGTTTTGACTGTTGCCATTGGTTCCCGTACTTGAAGTAATGATAACTGCAGTTGCTGTTGTTGCTGTTGAGGTAGTTGCTGTTGTGCCATTTGAAGACGTACCCGGTTCTGTTTTAATCTGAAATCAAAAACCTCTATATTTTGTGTTCTACTATTGATCCACTCACAACTTTAGGAGCCTTTTTAACAATAATATCATCTTTTGCTATTGCTTCATTCTGCTCTTTCTTGTGATGTTTCAGAATATGCTTTGTTAAATTTCCTGAAATTTATTTCTTTTATAATTTTATCTCATGTTTCAAGTAACTCCTAACCTTTTAATCTACTTGACTTCCCACAAAATTTACACACATATGGTTTCAATGCTGTATGTACTGATCGATGTTCTGCTAAGTTGGAGCGAAACCGAAATGCCTTCCCACATGTTTCACATATGAATGCCTGCAATAATGAAATGAATTGAAAGCGTGGAAGACGGGAAACCAAGATTATGATCTTGTGAAAACGATTCTTGTGATGGTAGGGGGATTTGTCTGTTCCCGGATTGCTCATAGATTGTCCCCCATGATTAGAGGGGTGAAGAGGCTTCTTTGGCACCACAGGAACAATTTCTCTAATACAAAGTCTTTTGAAGAAGAGTGAGAACTGTAGTCCTAATCCCTAATCCTTTCCTAACTAATAATTCTTTTTTCTATGTCACACACACATACACGGGCACTCATGATAACGGCGACGTCAGAATCTTATCTGCTACTTCTCCGGAATACAATGTTTCGCACCCAACAATAGTTGTTATTCTTATATGAATCGAATACCATTGAAAAAGTTATCTTGTATGTGGCTCCTCTTTCCCCAAAATGATTCAATAGACAAAAGGATAGGCAGCCATAAACAACATCGCGTCGGTTTTCATTACCGTCCGATGAGGACCAGGCTTCTTGAAAACGCCCAGGCGGTTCTAGTGTGTCGTGAGGAGCATCCCACACAGAAATGCAACACACGGATGATTAAATTTGCGTGAAATGGGACTGCCACATACACGTTTGTCCCTTCCCTTCAGCCTATTTGCGGATTCTTTGTCATGACTGTCAGAAGCGGCTAACGTCTGACTTCATTTGGTTTTCTGGTGCTTTCTCTCTTTTCTTTTGTGCATTGTGTCTATCTGTCTGTCTTTTTTTCTGCCTACTTACTCGATCCATTCCCGCTTGTGCATCGGTTGATTTCAATGTGAAGAGTATGGACTGAAATTCGAACTAGAGAAACGTGAGGATGCAGAAGAACGAGCGGAACAAGCAAAAAAGGACATATATCGTTCAAGACCGGACACAAGAAAAAAGTAACAAAATTGGGGGTGCGCGGGGAGGCGGAATATCTATCCTATCTATATTTTTTGCTCTGAGAAAGGCGGAAAATGTCCCGTGCGTACTGACAGAACATGGAACAAGTAGATGACGACGGCAGAGAGCGCGGGGGTCCGAGATGCCGGAGGAGGAGCGAGCTCGAGGAAAAAAGTTTCCGATGGCAAAATAGTAAGCAATGTGGGACAAGCGACCCGGCTAGTGTAGGAGGGAACGATGCGATTTTTCTAGGCATCTGGCTCCCTATCCTTTTCTTTTTACAAAAACACAGAAGCACACTACCAATGAAGAAACCAGCTGTGAGAGTTATTTGTCCGACAGGCAGGCAGAAACGAGTGGGACTGAGACTGTGATCATTTGGATAAAAAATGAACAGTATTTTCGGAAGGCAAAATGTCGTTGCTCGGTGAATAAAAAAAAATGAAGGATCGAGGGGTCAGGTGCCAGCGGTCTCGTCTTATTTTTGATGAGGGGAGAAAATAGGCAAGTATGTAGAAAAAGGGGAAAAGGAGATGGAGAGAGCACACCTCGTAAACAGCGGGGGACCCGCCAATTCTGGAAGAAGCGGTTTGGCTGTGCACAGCACTCAATTTTGTAATCGAATGTCAACAGAATCGTGAACAGACAGGAACTCGAGAGTTTTTTCTTTTTTCTATCAATGTAGACACAAAACTCAAAACTCAAAATATGACAGAATCCGAGCTAATCTTCAATTACAGGGCTTGCACTAAACCGGATCTATGCGGCTAATACTAGAGCATTCCTATCAAAAGTAGACGCACTTTCTACGCAGCTGAATAAGATTAGTGACTAAATGAGATCGAGACTCTTCGTGCAAAGGTGTGCGAGTTTCGTCATTTGGATCTACTTGTCATTTCTGATTAATAGGATTTTCCTGAGTCTTCTACCGTTCGAATGACATACTTGAGCTGATGAAATATAGGATTATTGGTTTGAAGACTAAGAATTTTGAAAAGGCGCTTTGATTATGAAAAGAATTACAGTATTGAAAATTACAGTAACTCAAAAACAGAATGCGATTAAAAATGTAATATTTTGTGAAACTGTGGTACTATTAATCTTCACGAAAACTACATTTAGTTTGAAAAAATATGATTTCAGTACGGTATCATTAAAAAAGTCAAATGATCATTATTTGGATCAAATAACTCCGTTTGAATGGTGCATATATTTGGTCATATGACGTATTACAGTAGCATTCGTAACAGAACAGAGCGACAAAATCGGTTGTTTCCAATATATATGACATTGAGAGAAAAGAGAATATTCGAAAAACTGTGAATATATGTATAATGAGAGGACTGCGAGTAAACGTGATGTTCTAGAAATGCACTCAAGTGAAAGAGTGCAATAAATTAGTTCGCCTGACTTGTTTGAGCTTGACAGGTAGGTGATTTGAGCAGATATGATTAGTATTTTGAACTCCCCGGTTGCCCCAAACTTCGCAAGCCAATCAGCAATTCAGTATTAGACAAGAAAAGCAAACAAAGCGCAGGTAGATTTCACAAAAAAAAAATGAAAAAATTGAACTCACCTTATCTGTATGAAACATTTGCTGATGTTGTTGTAGCATTTTGGTGGAAGTGAAAGATTTGGGACATTGGGGACATGTTAATGTCTCCAATTCAGTCATCAGAGTCGTTGGTTGTACTAGTGGTGAGACGCACACAGACATCCAGGTAGATCGACTCTGCCCTCTTTAATGTCAGCTCTTCTTTAATCTGTGCCAACGAACGTGTGAGAGATAATACGGTTTGGTGAGTAAGAGTATGGTTAGAGTTTGGAAATGGAACACTGTCCACGTAATAGTGTTAGAATAGTAGCGAGAAGTCCTGATGAAGGTTCAGGACGTCGTCGTGGATTTATAAGAGTAGGGGGAAAGTCGAGTGCCAACCGATCGGACAAGACAGGGAGAAAAGGGGGTGGAGCAACACAACAACCGCCGGAGCCAGAGAGCTCAACTCGTGGAGGGCACCGAGCTCTCTTTCTACAGTGAATAGGAAAAAGGGGGTGGACACGTCTTCTGCTTCTTCACACAGGGCGCACCACGACGACGAGAAGGACGATAGAAGACGCAAGACAGGCAGCGGACGCGGAGGCTCCACCCACATTTTGCATAACGTTCTGGTCTTCTATGGAGCAAGCCTGGTCGCCTCAGTAGCCCCCGACAGACAAGTCTTCTTGAAGGCTCTCTCTGATTCATGTGGTCACTCGTCACTTGGCGGTCTGTCTACAGCTAGCACGTTTCCTAGCTCGGAATAGGAGAAGCTTCGAGAGAGAGTGAATGTGCCGGTCGAAGAGAACTTGAATAGCATCAGAGCTCAAGCCTTTTAAAAGCACACTATACAATACAAAAAACCATTCACATTTTGGTATATTTTTCGGACCAAAATCTGAATATCAAATAAGAAAAATTTGTATCGTTCAGGGCTTATTTATTTGTACTATAAATGTTGAGCTATATGACTACAAAACCTACGAGATTTAGTTACAAATTCAATCAATTTGTATCGCGCTTATAGTATTATACGAAACACGAGACAGCTCGTTTCAGAGTCTTACGTAGGTTAATTGATTGAATTTGCTAAGAACAGTTGCGTTTTACAAAAACACAATCGTTTTGAAGATCTTGATTTCACAAGAGCCCGGTGTCGGTAACGAGAAAATGAAAAGGAAAACCGACAAGAAAAAAAGAAGAGGAGGGGTTTTGGCGCGGTAGATGGAGAAAACATGACGGTGACAGTTGGCGAAAACAGGCGAGCAAGGTGAATTGTACACAGTTGTCTTCGATAATCACCTAAAGGAAAAATCCAGGAAGAGGGAGAGAAAGAGAGAACTGTGTATCTCGAGAAGATGAATGAGTCGCAAGAAAGAATAGATATCCGAAAAACGGTATCATGACAAAATTCTACAAATTTATAGTGTTTACGCAATACAGGTGGTCAGGAGCTATGTATAAATCTCTTCAAACATTTGTAAATTCTCTTCAAGATGACGTTCTTTTGTTTACATTTCGAACTGTAAACTAATCCTCCTAAAATTGTCTTCCCCTTTTTGCTGCTCAGCCAACTACTCATTGAAGCGAAGCCAAAAATGACAGAAAGCTATCCGATGACTGTCACAAGCATATCTAGAATACATTGGGCAGTGCCATGCCCACTAACCATGTTTGCTTCTACTTTTCATTTCCTTCTCTCTATTGCCCTTTTGCTCCAGTACTACTCTTTCTCGACGCCCGCCTCATTTCTATTCCTTTTCCATTTCCAATTTCGAAACCACCAAACTGCGGTAAAATGAAACGTGTGCTTGTTTGTGTGATGGCGAAAAGGGCTTCACCATCCTGTATGTAGTGTTTTGCAACACTTATCCGGTTGAAAACTAGCCAAAGTGTGGGCGGATCTGAACGTGACAAATTGGTGAGACTGACTCGCCCCGTTTTTTTTTTTCAAGCCTTGAAAGATCCAAAGATAAAGAGCATATGAGACGAAGAGACGCAGATACATCACTCTGAAATACAGATAACTACGTGTTTATATGCTCCCTCTTTCTACCCCGAGTTCTTTGTCGTCTTACCCTCGGACTTGTCAGGCAGTGCTGTCCGTGAAGTCCGGCGATAAACATGTTGTGATCTACCAGTTTCCATTTGTAAAAAGTTTGTGTAACGAATTACAGAAGGGATTCAAAAATGTGGTTTACGGAATGTTGATATTTCAAATTTCGTAATCTTTTTCGAGCCAAAAAAGTTTTTTAGAAAAATTCCCTCGGAAAAGCCTCTTAGCAAGAACAACGTCTTCGAAAAACCATTTCGGAAATTCCGCACATTGCTCTTTTGCCAACATGTCGTTTCTTTTTTTCTTCTCCGGACAGCACCAGTACCACCACCACACTGCTTTTCCATTCGTCCCATTCTTCACACAAAAACCGATGCGCCGTAATCTTCCAGAGTACTTGTCGGAAAGTAAAGCTTAGATGCACAGACACGGACGGAAAGAAAGGGGACCAACCAATAGAGAAAAAGCACAGGCAGTGAAAATAAGCGGGGAGAGAGGGACTAGCGAGGTGCGCCCCGTTTTCACTCCCTGCTTACAACACCCACGAAACGATTCTAATCGTCGGTCCGTCTTGGAAAAGTTGAGTTCTCTTCTGTGCGCTCGCCCAAAACCACACAAGAAGAAAGGGACCCCCTGGACTGGAGCAATTGCCGACAGTGAGTGCCACGAGATGATTACTGACTGACTGGTGGAGGAGGGAAAAGTCGTGAACCCAAAAATAAAGTTTTGCGTTGACAACAACAGAGTAACAAAACTTTCCTCTCCTTCTCCCTGTCCCTGTTTTTAAGATTCTTTCGTTCTCTTCCAAACCCGGAAAACATTCCTTCTAGTCATCTGTAGAATGGCTTCTGTGTCTTCTACACTAGAGCGTCCGAGCCGGTAGTCGTATTTGGTTGGCAACCTCTTTTTACTCAAAAAAAAAGAGAAAAAGAGAGACGGGACCTCGTTGCGCGGGACCTACTTTTCCTATTTTTTTTCTGTCGACCGCCGCCGGCCGTTTCTCACCGAAGAGCACCGCCATGCCGCGCTCAAGTGCCGTCTTTCAATTTCAACGGGACGGCTTCTTCATGCTCCGTTTCTGGCGAAATGGTCGGGAGCTCTTTTCACCATCATCACGTCAGAAACGACACAGAACGAGAGAAAATGGGGCCTGTCGTTTTTCCCTTCTACTATCTGTCTCCAATGGGCCGCACAGAAAGCATAGGCAGCAGCATCGTCTTCCCGATTTTCACAAGAATGGAAAATGAAAGATTGTGAGAGTGTAGGAGGAACAGAAATGTGGGTACGGAAAAGGATGGAAAAGCACTCGCCAATTAAGAATATATTCTCTCTCTCTCTCTCTCTCTCTCTCTCTCTCTCTCTCTCTCTCTCTCTCTCTCTCTCTCTCTCTCTCTCTCTCTCTCTCTCTCTCTCTCTCTCTCTCTCTCTCTCTCTCTCTCTCTCTCTCTCTCTCTCTCTCTCTCTCTCTCTCTCTCTCTCTCTCTCTCTCTCTCTCTCTCTCTCTCTCTCTCTCTCTCTCTCTC